AAAACTTCGCAACATGCAAGCAATCCTAGCCATTATCTACACAACTGTACTAACTATCAGAGGTCAATCAACACAGGAAAAAGCCTGATTTAGTAGAACATCACAAAAACAAGCATAATTCTATTAAGACTTGAACACTTCTTTTAAGATGTATTTCAAAAGTCTTTATTAAGTGGTCTTAGCAGTCCATGGGAAGACTACTTGATAGGCTAGAGTTACTGGTTTATATGAGGGGCTTTATTTCCTTGGATTAAGTTGGGTTATTACAAGGAGAGCAATTATACCAACAGCTTTAGTAATCTCTTAGTAGGCAGCATACCTCTCTTGTGTCAAAGCGTTGCGAAATGCAAGAACACAAGTGACTTACGGTTTTGTGTCAATACAATTGTTGGTGCTGTTCCTAAATATACCTCACTGTGTTTTACAAAGAAAGATCAACATTTTATCCATACCACACAGGTGGGAGAAAGGAGTCAGTAAAGCTAATTGAATTGTTCAAGTTCACATAAAGAGACAAGGTACTGACAAGGAATCCAGTTCTAAGGCTCTGTGCACCAGAATCCACAACGCTCTGCACTTGAAAGAATCACCAAGGCATAAATCAAAACAGAGGCCTCTATCGTGCAGTCAGAAGCAAATCTGCATCAGCAGACCCTAAGCAAGACTAGGTCTTAAAGCATTAAATCCTCTGCATGCTGAAGTGTCCTTGAGTATCCAAAGAGCTTGCTCTTTGGATAACTTAAAAAATAAATGCACATAAATATACAGTCAAATTTAACAGTATCTTGATCTAATATAGTCAATGTTACCTTGAAGCGATACAAACAGAAAGCTAATAATTCTCTTAAGCATTCTCCCTTACTGCTTCTTATTGGACTGGCTTGTATCCTTGTAAGCTTAACTAATAAATTACAAATTTAAGCCAGCCAGAAGGACTGATCCACTGTATAACTCCTATAATCTTGGTTAAGTTGTTGAATCTTAGAAATTTCTTTGGAACCACAGTACTGTTAAAAGTTTCCTTGTAATAACTGAAGCTTCAAAGTAATGACTTACAGATTAACCTCCCTTAACACTACTGGGCACAGTAAATAAAGTACTGGAGTTATCTCAAGCATGTATAAGTTTAACACTAGACACACACAAATTGCAAAAGCTACAGACTTAAACTTAACACCTGAACACTCTGACAGAATTTATCCTAACTTTAAAAATAAACATGCAAGAGTAGCACAAACCTTACTGAAGACTAGGTAAGTTCTGAGGGTTTTTAAAAAAATACAGGTCTATTAACAGATTTTTATATTTGTTACTCTAAGTTTAGTCATCTGTTATACATTCAATTCAGCCTGAAGTGGCTCTGTATCACTGTTTCACAGAACACTTTGTGTTCTACTTGTGATCTGACCTCCTCATGCTCCCAGCTGTCTATCTACATATTAATATGGCTCTAAAACCTCAGTATCTGAACCTAATCTCTATGGTAACTGTAAGATTTGTTTACATTGAAAAAGAATATTAGAAACATATGTAAATTTAACTGTCATTTAAATAAGTGTTTTTTCCTTCTGGGGAAAAAAGCTCCCTATACTGCCTCCTATTTATCTTGCTTCCATCTCCAGTATCCCCACCAGGCAACGAGCCACATTTGGAAAGCTCCCTATCATACAACTTCAACAGCCTATTGTTGTAAATTCATAAATAGTTTACTTTTAATAAGACAGATGTGTGCAGTATTTTATATCTTAGCACTTGCTAAAGAAAAATCAAAGAGCAATTAAAACGTGATTTTTAAAAAACACTGCCATAAAGTCACCAAAGTAAAAAAAAACATGCTAAACCTTTAACAGCTATACAGAAAGACTTCACTGCTCAGCAAGTCAGATCAATCTAGAAATTAAGAGAGTGTATTTCATTTACCATTTCTAGCAGTGTATACAGTACTGGGTACACACTTTACATAATACTTATTCCCAGACAGTAGGCAAAAACTCTTGATAGTAGAAGAACCCACATACAGACTGCTCTTTTATTTTACAAATACCAAGGAATTGATGCATCACAGGTTTGGAACAATTGTTTTTTCTAAGATTTATAGTATTTTGAAATGAGATTTACTGCTTCCCAGCAGGACCGGGAGCTGAATTACGCAGGGGTGACGGTAACACAAACGGCAGTTTGAGCGAGACATATCAGCAAAATGGTAAAAAAAAACCCCTAACAAACACAGTTATTAAAAACTACTTTTAGGTACACAGTTCTTGCCCACACACAGAAGAAATCATTCAATTCCACCAAAACGATCTTTTTAGCTATTTAGCTTGCATAATATACCAAACATAAATAGTCTAGAAAGGTCCAAGAGAAGAAAAATGCATGACAGTGAGGTACATGAATACTACACAGCACCGAGAGGAAATTAGAACCTGTTTGAAAATCTTTCTGCACCTTACAGCAATCATTTCACTGCGGAGAATCGCTTACTTGCACCCTCCCCGCTCTCATCAAGATTACTCATTCAACAAAACTCCTATTGACGAATAGAAAGTAAGTAAATCTACCCTCTATTCAAGTAAACAATGTTGTAGAGCCAGCATTTCCCCCACAACGTTACTTTCCCGAGCAGGGTGACTGTGCCCTGCTCCTCCATGAAGCAAGCTCAGCCTAGGCAGCCATGTCCTTATTCTCCTACAAACAATGTTTCTGAAGGAGAACAGCCCCTGCTCGGGGAACTTACAGCTTCCCCCAGCATAACGCGGCGGAGCAAAGCCCGCCCCACGATCAGCAAACAAGCCAAGGCACCGAAACACGGCAGTGGGGGCGAAGCTGCCCGCAGTCTGGATCTGCACCAGCACCGAGCCTCACACCGGGGTCGGGACAGATGGACTGACAGATAGGACAGCATTTTTCCATGCAACCCTCCCTCCCTTCCCCTCCCAGGCACACAAGCGAGTGTTTTACCTTCATGATGAGCTCAGGCTGCGGTAAAAGCCTCGATCGTGGCTGAGCGGCCGAGGCTGGACCTGGAATTTAAAACAAAGCGCTAAGGCACCGCACCAGCCGCTCGCACCGGGCGGGGGGAGGGGAGCCAAACATCGGGTGGGGGCGCTGGGCTCCTCCCGATACTCCCCTTTCCTTCCCCGGGTCCCCCCTTCTCCCGCGGCTCACCCCCTTCCCTCTTTCCTCGGCCGCCGTTTCCCCCCGCGGCTCCCACACGCCGCGGCTTCCCCTACACTCGCTGCCACTGACGCCATTTCTGTCAGAGGAGGAGAAACTTGCCACAACAACAACCCACCCCCGGCTGCCGCGGGAGGGGGAGGCGCCCCGGCCGCCTCCCCGGGGCGCTGCGCCCCCTCCCTGGGCACCGGGCGGCAGAAGAGCACCCGCGGGGGTCCCAGCGCAGAGAACACCCCCCTGCTCGCTTTACCGCGGGGAGAGGGAGAGCGGAGAGAAGGAGGGAGAGAGGGAGGGAGGCTCTTCCTCCATTGTACGAGGAAGAGTGCCCGTGTGCACCGCGGTGGAGCGGGGTGTCGGGAGCAGTCCCCCCACCCCGACACACACACGCTTTTGAAGGGGCTGCGGCTCCGGATCGCGGCGGCTCCTCCTCCCTCCGTCTCCCCCCCTAAATAAAGGAAAGCGCTGACTCCGCCGCAGGAGTTTCGGCAGCAACAGCCGCAACTCCCCGGCTCGGCGCAGCGGGTCCGGGCGGGGGGAGGGAGGGAGGGAGAGCAGGCAGGAGGCGGCGGAGGAGGGGAAGAAAAGGAAGAAGAAGAAGAAAAGAAGGGAGCGGGGACGGGGAGGGAGGAAGGGAGGGGGGCGGGGAGAAAGGGGCCCGACCTGCTCGGCGGGGACACGGAGCGTGTGTCTGTACGAGTGTGGAGGAGGGGGCTCCGTCCCTCCCGGCAGAGGGGCTGGAGGAGAAGCCGCCGGTCCCTCCTCCTGGCCCGCCACTGGGTGTTTGGGGTGGGGGGGGAAGACGAAGCATCGGCGAGTCCCGCCGCAGTCTCGCTACCAGGAGAAAAACAAGCGCCCCCCTCCCTCCCTCGCCGCCGCACGCCCGGCCCCGCGCCCCCACGGGGCCCCCCGCCGCCTCCCCGCCCGCCGCCGGCAGGGCATGGGGGCTCCTTCTCCGGCTCGGCGCCCTCACCTTTGTTCCGCTGCGACCGCCCGCCCGCCCGCTACTCCCCCGGCCCGAGGCGGGGGGCACGGAAGGGAACTGGGCGAAGGCTCCTCTCAGCTTCGGGCACCCCCGGCCCCGCTCAACGCTGCTGCAGCGGCTCTGCTGGCGGCGGCCCCGCACGGCGCGCGGAGGGGCCGATCCGTCCTGCGCGGCCCCGGCGGCGGTGACTGCACGGCTCGGTCCCCCTCCCCCTCCCGCACCGATGACTGACTGACGGGCAAACGGGAACGGCCACGCCCCCTTCTCCACCTCCCCCATTGGGCCGTGTCTCGCAGGGCCCGCCTACCCCGCGGCCCGATTGGCCTTCGTGTCGGAAATACTGACATCATTCTTCTCCACTTCTATGGAAACTGAGACTCGGTGCCGAGGGTGTTCATGGGGAACGCTGTTCCTACTCGTTGTTAGTAGCGTTTTCGGCAGGCAGCGCTGCGCGGCTTAGTGGACAACAACTCCCAGAGTGCACCGCGCACGGGGGGCGGGGCACTCCGGAGAAAGCTAACGAGCCGAGGGGGCGGGGCCTGCGCGTGCGCGGGGGGCGCTCGGTGGCGCATTTTCCCCCCAGGAGGGGAAGGTGGCGCCCGGCGGGGCGGAAGGAAGGAGGGGGGCGGCGCTCCGCTCTGGGCTCTGCCGCCGCCAGCGCCGCCACTCCCGGAGCGGCGGCTGCTCAGGGGCGGGGTTCCGGCTGCCGGCGGCGGCGGTGGAGGCAGCGGTGAGGCGAGGTCGGCTGCCCTGTTAGCTGGCTGTGGGTTGGGGGGGGACACTGGGGTCCGGGCGGCGGAGAGAGAGGGGGCGACCCTCTCGGAGAGGCCGGTCCGAGCCCGGCTGCGGGGGAGAGGGTCCTGCGGCCGCCCCGCCTAGGAGGGGCTTGTAGGCTGCCCGGGAAGGGGCCGGGGGAAAGGGAGCTGCCGGTAGTGCTGGGCGGTGCCGGCGGTCGCCGGGGCAGGCGGAGTGACTGACAGAGCGCTCCGGGGCTGGGGCTGCGCTGGGCTGGCGGCGGGCGGCGCTTCCCGGCCCTCCCTGGCGGCCGAGCCCGACAGCGCCGATCAGAAAATGGGGGTGGACGGCGGGCGGGGGGAGCGATGCGTCCTCGGCTCTCGATCTCCTAAAATGGCGCTGAGGAGCTGGGCCCACTCGTTCTGGAGTTCTGGAGGCAGCTGAGGAGGCTGCGCCTGTCGCGATGAACTCCGAAAAAAATGAACCTTATTTCCGTCGGTCCGGCTGTGGCGGGAGTTTGGCGGCAGCAGCTTCGTGTTCTCTGTGAAATGTGAGTTTTAACGGAGCGCTCCAGCTGCGGGTTTTGCCGACTCATGTTCTGTCTGCGGGTCAGGCCGCAGCTCAGAGACCCTCCCTGTCTGCGGGCCGGGACTTCGGCGGCCAAGGTATTGTTCTCGGGCTTCTGCAGCATTCCTGCTCAATTTTTCTTGGAATTCCCCATTAAAACGGAGCCACGATCACAGGAGTAGGGTGCTCGTGTCGTTCTAACGTTAGTGTTGGAATGGCACTATGGAAAGCTGTTGTTTACTCAGCTGCATCTTCGGGGAAAATGTGTGGTCTGCCACTGCCCTTCCACCTGCGGGAAGCGAGGTGTTGTTCGGTGTCAGCCTGGGAGGGGTTATAAACAGGACTCTGCTAATTAGAATGGGAATGTGGACTGGTGTCCCAGTGGCATTTGGATTAAGACTTCTGGTAGTCTGTGTTTGAAACAGTAGATATTCATTCACTAAGTTTTCTGTGTATTCTTTTTGAGACTTTGCTTCTCACTCCTACTTGCTCCCCCTGTCTGGGGCTTCTTCTCCCCCCCACTGGTTATAACGAAGCCAGTGTCTCAGTGCACTAAATTCTGTGATGGAGCTGATTTGAGAACCTTCTGAATGGTTCATTTTATACTGGAGCTCTTTGCTTTTTTGGTAGCTGTCTCTTATTTTCTCTGTAATTACACTATGACTGCAGCCCCTGAGATGATGATACTTTTTAAAATACCATCTGTATATTTAACCTGGACTATTTCAGACTATTCTCCCTATTTGGGAGGAGGGGAAGAAAGGTCTTCGGAGTGGAATGGAACAGGGTAACATGAGAAGCTGTTTTACAAAATTCCAAAGGGAAACTTTTTCTTGACATTTGGCCTGGAATTAATCATCATTAATCATCAACTTTCATCCTCTCTAAAAAGGTTCTAGACACAGATCACAGCTTCAAGTATAACTTTAGAGTAGTTCCACATTATGGAGACCCACGTCACCATCTTATCCTAGTGTCATGTGTGTTTTCAAAGAGGTCATCAGAGATAAGCTTTGATGCAGTCCAAAAGGCAGCTCTTTGGGCTCTCTGTTGTGTGTGGCTGTTCTTTTTGCCTGTGTGAAGATAAGAAATAACTGGAAAATTAACTTTGTCATGCATACGAATTGAAATGCAGTAAGTTTGTGTGCTGGTTTATAAGGTAAAATGGCCTTAACTGCTTTAATCCTATGAATAAGCATAGATGTAATCAATTCTTGCACTTTCACTAACAAAAGGCTTTTGGTAGCCTTTCATTTATTGTTTAACTGCTAGTTTTTACTTTTTAGTGGGGTATGGTGACTTGAGATCTTGTGTGTAAATCACTGAGAAGTGTAACTTCCATAATAAATCGGTCAGTCACCTCAGCAGGAAACCCTTAATATCAGGCATTTCCCAAGTGTGCTGTATGTGATAATTTTGTGCAAAGAGCAATAATATTACACATGTTGTATCATGGTATTTTTGCTTAGAGGCTTTTGTAATGAATTTCATTTACACGTTTCTTTATCAAGGGTCCCTTTTTATGTATAAGTTTGGGGGAGGTTCTGTTCACTGTTTATGTGCCAGTGGGTGTGTTAAATGTGTAGCTGTCTGATGAATAATCAGACTTTTTATTTTTTTCCCTTGGTAAATCCCTGGTGGGGATTTACCTAGAATTTCATTTAATGGTAGAATAGTAGTATAGAAAATTTTAATTATATTGATTTGAGATTAGTTACTTTTGTTCATTACATCTTTTTTGCCTTTTATTAAAAGAAAAAAAAAAAGTAAGAATCTCTGTACTTGTGGCAGAAGTACCTGACTGATTTTCTGCTGATATTTAGTATTTCAGGTGAACTCCTATTAGTTATGTGCAGAAAGATGCAAATATTTACGTTGATGCTGTACAATACTAATGAATTTCAAGTTAGTTGGGGATTCTGAATATTGGCTTACTGCCTTACAGGTGAGCAACAGACCTAATTCCCTGGGGGAAGAGGAAGAGCTTTAACATTTACTTCTAAGCAAGAGCTTTTCTAGGAGAACACTTCCAATCCTAATGTCTCTTCTCAGCCTAGCTGGATAGCTATGCACTTTCAATTCTGTCACCGTCTGTGTGGCTTTTTGACAAATAATGGTCACACGGGAGTTGTTAGGTTGATAGTATATCCTTATATCTATCTCCACCAGATTCTTTCTGCTTAAAACATCTGGGGGTAGAATCTGAAAGTCTTTGATTTTACCTCCTCACTGAAGTCCTTTGAGACTTAGTCTTTATATGTGAGGGTACAGTTTGACAGCTGCCTCTCAGTGGCAGTGCTGGTTGAAAGCACTTCAGTTACAGCAACAAGCTGGCAACAAAATAAGGAGTCAAGGATGTCAAATCTGATTTTGATTAGTGTGTGGCCTGACCTCTGGTTGTGCTGGCACATGGATAGGATGGAGAGGCTGTACTTCTTACCACAGCGTCACTGCAAGAAAATATGTGAAGCTTTCCCAAAAGGTGCAGCCTTACGAGCATTTTGTTGACAACTATATTTGGTTAAATTCTTGCCCCTGAAGTGCCAATACATTTGATGAACACACAGAGTGAACCAAATAAAGGAGTTGATCTATACTTAAACTTGGAAAATAGTTATTAACACAGATCTGTTCCCCAAGCACAGACTGCTACAAATGCTTGTGCGTGTGGAAGGTGGCAATAGGAATAGACAGGAATTGATTGAGCTATACTCTCCCAGCTTCTTGTGCACCTGCTCCATGGCAGAGCTTGGGAAACTGAAAACTCCTTCACTTACAGTGAGCATTATTTAGCAACAGCTGAAACATTAGTGTGTTATCAACCGTATTCTCACACAGAGTCCAAAACACAGCGCTGCAGCAGCTACTAGGAAGAAAATTAGCTCTATTCTAGCCAAAATTGGGACAATAATTTACATAACTATTCACTTTCTCCAGGAGGAAAGAAATAAATCCTTTGCAGGATACTAGCAAAGTATCTGAGAAGTAGCATGAGACTTTATGCTACTGCTGCAGTTCCTGTCTTAAAACTACATGAGAAGTATTGTTTTGAGTTGCTGCATCTGCAGTGCAGTAAGGAAGGCTAGAGGTGAAAGGATAGTAAATCTATCACAGAAAGCAGTCTGAAAAAAAATGCAGATGGAGATGACCTGAAGTATGCAACTTGAAGGTAATCAATAAAAAATTGTTGAGCTCTGTAGGCCCTGGATCCTAAAAGATTATTCATAAAAGTCTATTATATTTATGGTGTATGGGAAGTGTGTAGAGCTCTCTATGCTTGAACAGTGGTAGAAAAATGGTATATTTCTATTTTGACTTATAATGAAAGATTGAGGAATTATATCAAAAGACTGAAGCTAGTATTCTTCTTCTTTAGGTTGCCTTGGTCTGAGTTGTGTTTTCTGCTCTTTTGAAATGTCAGATGTATGGAGAAAGCATTTAGCAGATTAGCTGTGTGAGGTTTTGTATGAGTGTCTTTAAAGATTTGCAGTGGAGCTTTGAATGGTAAAGTTTTAAATACTTCATCACCTAAGCAGTCTACTACGTACAAAAAAGTAAACAAAGTCTAGGAGTTGGCTTAAGCTTCATGATTAATTAAACTGTATTTAGCATGTATTATATTTTTTTTGTGTTTCCTTGGTAAATGACATATGGAAACCATTGGAATATTTGTGCCTAACCTGCAAGTCAGCTGACGTTTTAGTTGTATGCATCTACTGCTTACTTACAAATTTTTAAATCTAAGTAGTGTTAATAACATTTCTTTAACAGTGAACTACATCTTCAGAAAGAAAGAAATGGATGGGATGGATGAAACATCTAAAAGAATCCTAGAGCCATACCAGTATTTGCTTCAACTACCAGGCAAGTTTCTTTGTATTGTGTTGTTTTAAGTATCAAAATTGTTCTTATAGCAGCTTTCGTCTTGGGAAGCACAAGCCAAGAAGTTTTTCTATTCTTGATTTGTGGATTTAAGAATAATAAAAAGTAATACTTTTCCGTGTTTCTATTTTACTTGTTCTTTTCTTCCTCTTATGAAACCCCCTTTTTTTTTGTGAGATTGGTATAATAGCTCTTGTGTCTGTAGTAATATTGCCACATTAATATTGCAATTTTAAGTAATATTGCAGTTACTCCGTTCTCCAGAGTAGCTGACTTAAAAATGGATAAAGGCAGGTACTGAAGATTTGATCCTGGTTTTAAACTCAGGGCTGACAATATTTTGTTCTTTACTTGCTTCCTGTACTAAACTCAGTGGGTTATGGCTTTTCTTTTGGTTGAGGGGGAGAGGTGGTGTTTGAAGGGCTTTTGTTTGGTTAGGGTTCTTTGGGAGATTTTTTGGGTTTTTTTGATTTGTTTTTTGTTTGGTTTTGTTCTGGGTTGTTTTTTGGGGGTTTTCATTAACCTGTTCCTCTCATGTAATTTATTCTCCTTGGTGCCTGTAGAGACGGGTGCTCTTATGGCCAATTTCAGCTGTCCCTATTCATGGCTTATTTCACCTGTCAGAGGTTCAGCCAGTCCTTGTGTACTATTAGGTCACCAGCAATACATTCACATGAAGTTTTCAGTCTTGCACAGTATAGCAGAATTCAGGAGGCAGTTTGAAAGCAAGCTGCTGTATGGATATGCCCCATGTAAGCCTCTTTGACTAAACAATCAGATTGCTGTGACTTTTATTTGTACACCTAAAGGGTAACAAAGACCATACAGGCTATCAAAGTGACTAATTTTGTAAAAATAGTGGCAGAACAACTTTGTCATTGGAACTACTGCATAAATGCCTGGTTGCCCTCTGTCCAGCTTGTCCTCTGTCCTTCCTGCTGAAGGAGTTAAGGAAGATAGAAAATTTGGGTAAATATTAAGGAAATATTTCTGATGAAAATTATATCTGACCAGGGTAGAAGACCTTCTGCCTAGACAGACAGAGTACTAAGTAGCTTTTGCCCATCTCTAGCAAGAGCTGTATATCAGTAGGGTGGGTCCTCAGAGTCCTAATTCATTATACCTGAGTATAATGAATTTCATTATTAACCTCTACAAATATCCAGGATTTTCTTGCCAACATTAGTGATTTCATTTAACTTGGCAGTTACCACCAAACTGAAAACTAAGAAAAGCAAAGAATTTGGCAGTTGCATGGCTTTTTAATGCCAGAAGGCTTGTTTCCCATTTCCTCATGTGTACTCCTTTTGGCTATGTTGAACTGGGTGGTCGTCTTTCTAGAGAACTACCTTGAGAGTGAGTCTGTGATATTACAGAGAGCTTTCTAAGCCCTGGTCCTGAAAAAATTTGCTTTCCTCAAACATAATCTTTAAGCCTACGTTTTATATTATTAGATTATCTCATTAACCAAGGAATGTTGCAACACCTCTGCATCTTTAGTTGCTAATTATTTTTAAAGCTATTGTAGATACCAGGAAGAAAAGCTCAGCTTCCTAGTAGGAAACATACAACACCCAATAAGTGCCCAAAAAATCTTCTAGAGGGAGAAGTGCTTGACTAAAAGCTCTTCAGTTACCTTTCACTTTAAATGATGCATCTGCAATATGTTTACCCTTCCCACCTTGATTCCTATGGCTAAATTCCTTCGCTTTGTAAGTTCAACTGTAATAACTCTCTACTGGTGGCTTATGTAACACTACACTCACTGACAGTACAGGTGTGTTAGATCCTGTCCTCCTAAAGAGTCATAAATCTGATAGCCCACTTTACCATGTCGACTTCTTTTTAATTTAGTGTATGTTTTGGGGAAGGCAAGAGATAAGATACACTGCTCTCTGTGCAGTAGTGGTGGTGTGATTCAGAAGAGAAAACTTCTCTTAAACTAGGCAGGTGAAAGCGGTGTACCTGTGGGAAGCTTGTACTGAGGAACAGGTGAAGCAGTGAGGGTTCCCAGTCATAAATAAACTGTGTTTACTGTGTTTGAAGCACTGGCTTTGCCTAAGGTCAGCCATGCCAAGTACAGATCAGTGGGAGCCAGTTACATGTGTGAATCTTGGAGTCAGTGAGTACCAGTGCTCGGTAAGGGTGGAAAAAATGGGCTTACAGATGCTGTTTCTACCTAGAGTGGAGCTCAAATGAGATGCCTGAGCTAATACACGAGGCTCTTGTTGAAAGAGGCAGTTTCATTCTATCCTCTTAGTCTCTGGCAGTGTTCTCCTGCTGCTTAACTTGTGCCAGTTCTGAGCCTGCTAATCAAATTGTTAGGTAGTATCAATCACTAACCTGTTAAAAACTTGCCTGGTTAATCTCTTGTCTTGTTAGTGAGCAGGCACAGCGACAGGAACAAGAAGCTGTTTCTCTGTTGGATCAGTTTGAGCTCAGAGGGGCTTTGCAGAAAGCTTGGCTGAGTGTCAAATATGTACACTATGGCTCTACAGCAGTCCACTTCCTTATCTTGAAAGACGAGTTAAACTCTCCAAGCAGTTTAGTAACCTATGGTTGAATGAATGTAGATACATATCAAAGTTTGCTTGCATAAAAAGGGATTGTATAACTGTATTCACGTTGGTAGCAGGGAAGGGAAAAAGCCTGCTAATGTTGTCAATAGTGTAAGAACACAATTTTTATAACTGTGAAGTATTAACCGCTTAGTACAGGAAGTTGATTACTCTGTTTCCCTTGCTGAAATAAGACTTTTGATGGTAACATTCTTGGGGTGATACTTAAAGTAACCTTGTATATTTCTTTGACTTCAAACAGTGCTAGGATAGGGAAGCTACAAGGCTTAAGGGATTTTTAGTATGGTGCTATTTTAACTACTAGTATGGTAATTAATGTTTAGTGTGGTAATTAATGTTTTTTCCTTCTTGAGCAGAAATTATTGCTTGGGAGAAGAACATAGATTCTGAAACAGTAACTTTTCTTGTAAAATTTCATTGCAGTGGAACATTGCCATACTAGTTTTTAGCAATGTTCTGCTTAATCTAGAATTTTGTCACTTAGTATCATAAAGTGCAGGACTGACTTTCAAAGATTCTGTTGAGGTTTGTTCCAAAAATGTCTTAATTCACACACATGGTGAATCTTTTCTTTTTAAGGGTCTGAGTTAACAACAGTAGGTGATATTGCAGCACTAAGGAATATATAGAATTTCAGTTGTCATAAAACTGATATGGTTAATAGCTTGCTGTTGAAAAGGGCAGATTCTGATCCCATTCATGACTGTGCATCTTCCCATTCTTGTCCTGCTGGTCTTGGCTGCAGTCTTTCCTGCTTTTGTTCAGCAAGCTAAACAGTCAAGACTGGCTTTGTTGTTCAGCTTTTTCTGCTGGGTTGTTGAACTTGATCAGCCTGGTGAAGGAGTTAAGCACCACAGGCCATGATCCCTACCACTGGCACAACTACCCTTGGCAGATCAGAGGCCTCTGCTTGGGCCAAGTTCCTGAGGGAGGCTGCACCTCTCTAGACTGTGAGCGCAGGGATGCCTGGGGGCACCCACTAGCTGGAATCAAGTGATGTCCCTGCTCCTAAAGGTGTGTAGTTGTGGAAAACCTATGTCACCAAGCAAAGGAATGGTGGAAAGGGGTCAGCAGGCTTGCACAGCATCATAAATAACAAAAATTACAGGACTCTACAGATTCAAGAATCTGAAACCTCCAGGTATATTGACGAGGCGGGGCAGAAATAGTCTCTGCATATCAGGTTGGGAGATAGATACTCCCGCCATGGTGAAGACTGGTGGCCTCTGACACCGGAGAGAGATTCCTGTTCCTTGAACAGATGTGCAATTGCCAAATAGGTTCAGTGCACTGAAAGAAGACACATGGCTGGAAGCTCTTTATAGGCCTTTTATAACCTGAATGATTCTATGGTTTTCTACAACAAACATCAAAACATCACCTAGGGCAGCAGCAAGTGGTGAGACTGAGCAGATAGGGGAGAGACTGACTCCTGTAGAGGAATAGAGGCTTGTGGTTTTGTTTTAGGGAGGTTTGCTGCTTCTAGATACTCCTGATAGGGATATGAGGGAAGGACTGCCAAGGTGTGTTTCACCTTTAAATACTTAACCTTACAGCTTAAAATACTTAACCTTATGGCTCTTCTACTTGAACAATAATGGGTATAGCACGGGGGGTGCCTGAAGCTTATCAAGCAAGACTATGTGGCCTTTGGAATGAGGGCCAAGGCCACAGGAAGCCAGGTGGGTCTTCTCTGTGATCCTCAACCCCCTTCTTACCATCAGGGGGAATAAACAGATACTGCCTAAACTGTTAACAGATAGTTAATTTCACAGCTCATGCTGATAGAAGAGCTTTGGCTCTTACAGACTTGAGACCTCCTTTGCAGAGCAAGGACTCTCAGGAGGAGATAGCATCCACCTGTCCAAGTTGGGGCAAAAGTGGAGCTTATAGTAAAAGAAAATGACTGCACACAGTCAAGTAAGGAATTAGTGAACTTGCAAACAAAGTGTAGAGGCTGATTTGAACAAGACACTTAGTAATCTACAGATCAGATCTGAAGGCAAATCATCCCAGCACTCCAAAAAGGAAGTACAAACAGAACTTGATAGGGTAAGCTCTTCCTTTTTCTGGGGATCTGCAGGATTGCATGCTTCTGTGAAGTGTCTTTATACAGATGCATACATTATTGGGAGTAAAAGGGAGAAGGTAGAGTTTGGATGCAGCTGTAGGGCAACAATTTTATTGTGGTATAAACACACAGCTAGAGTGCTGCAATGGATGCATGTGGATGGCCTAGGAAGACAATCTGAGGTAGCAAGGAATGGAAGTTGCATTTTATGTGAAAGAACAGTTGAATTGCATGGAGTTTGACCTTCAGTCAGATGAGCCTGTTGAGAGTTTATGGGTTAAGTTTTGAGGGCAGATCAAGGAGTGACATTATAGTGGGCGTTTGCTACAGACCTCCTAAGAGGGAAGAAGCAGATGAGACCTTCAGACAACTTCAAAATGCTTCATATTTACAGGTGCTGATTCTTATGAGAGACTTCAGTTACCTCACAGTGTGGTAGAAGAAGCATCACAGCAGGACACAGGCAGTCCAGGAGGTCTCTGGAATGAATTGATGATCTCTTGCTAACACAGGTGACCATGGTGCTGATGTAGGAAGTCATTATGCTTGGCTTCCACTTAAATAGAAGGGAAAAGTGGTTAGGACATTGAGACTGGAGGCAGCCTTAGTTGCAGTAACCGTGGGATAGTGACATTCAGGATTGTGAGAAGGAGCAAGGCACAAATCAGGATCACAATGCTGGGCTAGTTAACCCTATTTTGAGCAGAGGAGTTATGCTAGAGAATTCTGTCAATGACCTCAATCACAAGTAGCTGCACAGGTTAAAAGTGTATGTGCCTGCTCTCTGCTTCTCTTCATGCAGTTCACTTATGCTGTTTGTAGTGTTCTTGGGGCTGCTGGGAGAGGTCTGCCTGGAGACTTTATCCATTTAGTTTTAATCCATCAGACGATGCAGCTAAATGTACAATGTGCAAGTGTACAATACAGTTCAGGTAATACAAGAGCTTTCTTCCTCCAGAAGGGCAATGCCCCTTCCCCTGATCCTCATCATCTCCTGCTCACCTTGTACCACTGATTGTGGCAGATCCACTGCATGAGCTGACTCAGTACATAAAGCTGGCAGAAAGCTAACCGAGCAAAAAGCTGTGTTCTCTGCTGGGCTAATGAGTTGAATTAGCTGTAATGGGGGCTAGGTTAATAGTCCCTTTGCTCTTTCCCATGCTGTTCTAGCCCTTTCATGAGCCTTCTCTGTAAGTGGGGTGCTGCCTTAAGGGCAAAATTTGTGGTTACTTGAATACAGCAAAAGTGAAGCAATACTAACCAGGAGCCTGTCCAGAATGGAGGTCTCTAGTTTTTGGGTCTGTGCCCTATCATAAGAACAAGTGTGTATATAAAGAGTAAGTAGGTTGATTGTTTTCCTTTAGATGAGAAGCATGTCATCTGAAGAGGAGGAGGGAGTGTCCTCAATACAATATCTTTAGACTAACTTGATATTTGTTTGGAGGATAAAGCTTTAACATTCTTAGTTGTAGAAGGAATTTCTCAGTGTTTTTCTCACCTTTTCCACCCAGCATTACTAAGGAGAAAAGCTTTCCATAGTTGCTGTTTGATTTGGGTAATAATTTGGGATCTTAGGCAGATCAAACCAAATGCATTTAGCAGAGCTTTGATAAAAGCTTGGTGCAGTAATGTCTATTATTATAGCTCTATACAGTAGGTAGAGCTTCTAATTTTGGGTGTTAGACCTCTATTCTTCCATTTTACAATAGCCTACTTAGAATAATTAACAGAGCAGTGGAATGTGACGGTGAAGAAACTGGATAATTCTGGCAGTGCTCTTTTTAATGTCCTAGTGTCCCTGTATTGTTGTCTTGTCTAGTCTGGGGAGAGGAGGGATGTGGCAAGGAACGGAATCTTCTGCATCCAGGCTTTAGAGACAGGTATTGGAGGGGTTTGGTCTTTCGCCACCACAATATGGCTGCAGGCATAAATTGTGTGTACAGAAAATTGCTGTACTATTGCATAGACCGGGTGAGAGTGGCTTCAGAATCAGATAAAATAGCATTTATGTAGCCATAATGTTCCTTTAGAAGACAAGCAAATCTGCATCTATAAAAGGAACAATAGATGTCTCACTATACAGGTAGTGTTTTTTCCTTGAATAATCAGTGTCTAGGAAACCTTGCTAGTCAGGGTAGACAAGTCTAACAATTCAAATGCTGCCTGTACTAAGGAACTAAAGTGACTTAATCCTTTGTGCATGTTATAATCCATTTAGAGTGCGTGCTAGTAGTCAAGTTCCTCATGATGAAATAATGCTTGTTGCTGAACATCCAGCATTCTTTAAGTGTATTTTCTAGGAGACACATTCAGAAAAACAGGATTAAGCTGCCTAGTATAAAAAGAAAAAGCAGGTGTTGTCTGTATGCAAGTAATTTAGAAGAGAATAAACAGCTATAGATAAGGTATAGATTAGGTACAGTTCCTTAATGTGATATTCTCTGACTGATTTTCGTTATGAATGTGGTGAAATACTTGTCAATCCTTAACTGGTAAGCCATACAGTTTGGCAAATATTTATAACAGTTATTCTCAAGGAAAGACAAAACAATCCTTCCCTTCTGCAGAAAACTATTAGTGTTTAAAACCAAGCACAGACAACAAAAATGGAGAAAACAAGCCAATGGCAGTGTATGTCCAGGTAAGAATGCCTGTTCACATGTGGCAGAAACAGAGGACAGAGCTCCTGGGGGGAAAAAAGGACCATTTTGTTAATCTTGTCTAGTGAGAACCAGAAGATGGTGGTGACAGGAAGCAGTGGAAATCATGGAGAACTGAGACAAAAAGTGCAGACTTCTGATCCAGGGAGGAAGGTTATCACCCTTGCTACAGAGCCCAACCCACAAAGCTGTTGCTTACCTGGTGGGGACTTAATTAGGAGGGGAAAAATTCTCAGTCCAGTTTCTCCAGGGTCTATCACTGCAAGTGAATTTACCCATACTTATTATTCTGTTCTGTATGCGCTGGCTACACAGTCATAGAGAAGCCTTAGGGAGAGATTCAAATGTTGACATTTCTTTGGTGCTATGGGCAAGATGGAATTATCAACATGAGGACTAGTATTGCAGAATGTCTCAGTTATGTCTCAGTGCATCTTGAGTCAAGTAATATGGGTTCCTTGCTTTGAAGTTTATTTTAAAGCTTTTTCCAAATGCTTGTTTATATGAGCTATATATACAAATATACAGGGCTGTTTTTGTAAACCTTCTTGCAGTTATTCCAAGATATTATACATAGCTGAGCTTCTCAAAGTTCAGAGCAGAATTGTCTCAGTGTGGATAGGGGATAACTTTATTTCATATTGAACATGACTAGATGCTGAATAGATATTTGTACATGAAAACCAGCAAATTACTAAAGAAAGTAGACATCAGTAATGTATAGGCATAAGGTTAGCTTCTATTGAAATTCACTCTGTCATGTAGAAAGTATCTGGATTGAACAAAACAACATGTTTTAACACTAAACTTGGTCATTTGATGTTGTCTTTAATTCCTATGAAACAGGATGACTGTCTGGCTCCAACAAAGTAGATTTTACCAAAGCAGACCAAATCCTATTTGTAGGTAGATTTCTTGGGTATAAGATAAATATCTGAATTCTTGGAAAGTTCTATTCTGTTCACAATGTTCTGTTCAGATTTTTGTTTAGTGTTATTTAGTAAGTATTTGAAATGTCACTTTGCTGTTTTACAAATTTACAGTTACAAGTAAAGAATAATACTACAGGAGAAAGACCTAAAAATTGACAGAAACAGCTATTCAACAAATACCCATACTTTCAACTAAGAATCAATCATAATTGGAACTTTTAAATCTTAAAATTAACATGCCCTGCAAACTAGCTGATCTGTACAGGCTACCAACATGGTCAGGATCCCTTACTAATTAAATTGTGAAAACTAAATATAGTAACCTGTAAATAGGTGCTTTAAATATTCCTGAGAAGTGTTTAAAACTGAAACTGCTGCTACTTGATGTTTATTCAATGAGGAAACAAGTCATGCACTGATATATTTTCCACTTTTGTGTCATCACACTGATGAGTTTTTTAATCAGGTCTCAAATCGGCTATAGTTGCTAAGACAAACTGTTGTGCCTAATTATGAACTCTATCATTTTTATAAATGCCTATAATATTTTTATTGTAGGTAAGCAAGTGAGAACCAAACTGTCACAGGCCTTTAATCACTGGCTGAATGTTCCGGAAGATAAAATACAGGTACTGGCTAATTATTTTTAAATTTTTTTTAATTTTTTTTTTTTTTCTTTCCAAGACCATTGGTAACAGATTATTCTCTTACATAGCATAAATTATCAGAAATCTTAAATGCACTAATTTCTGAATATGAAGTGAACTTTCAGGAAAACAACTTCAGTGCGAAGCTTTTACTGTGATGCAACACTAAAGAAGTTATTTCCATGTCTTACTAGAATAATTACTTCCTTCCAAGTGTTCAGCCTTTGAAGTTGTAGATAAGTAGCTATCATTGTTACCCACTTAACTCAGTTTTTAACACTGAGTTTTCAATAACTTACGAAACAAGCTAGACAGTTACCTGGTAGACTTCACAAAAATAGTGTTTGAAAATAAAATCTTGAGATTTTGATACAAGAATATCAAAGGCAGCAATTAAATCAACTTTAAAAACCTAAAACTGAGAGGGATGTATCATATAGTCTGCAATCCTTACTTTCTAATGGGAAGGATTGTCTAGGAATTCTCATTGTCTTTTCTCTTGGACAAAGTGTGCAAGATGCATGGCTGTGTATTTAAACACTGTGGCTTTTCAAATGAAATGTTATCCACCTTTTTAGGTTAGACTGCAGTTTTGTTACATGCTACAGAGTGTGCAAAATATTTTTTGTCCAAAGCAATATAAGGAATTTATATAATTGGTTGTGGTTTTTGACATCCCGCTGGTCCTTTGTTAATTTCATTAATTGTTGGCAGAAGTATCTTTAGCATTTGTGAAGGAGTCATTTTTAGGGTGGCTTAAAAGTGACACTTCATAGCTCTTAGGCAGCAAAGTGATTTGAATGGTTTAAGAGGCTGCATTTCATAATCTAGCAACTCTTCCATTTTTCAGCCTATTTGTGTAACTGTCTAGCAAAATTTATTCTGTCTTTCAGCTAGACACATCTTACCCTTGTGTTCAGACAAACATCCAAATAAAACAAATAATATAGCAACCTGTGTATTGCATGTATGGGTTTAATCTAATATCATAGATCAGAATTCAGATTGGAAGAAGCCTCTGGAAGTTATCTAGGACAACCCTGTACTTAAAGCAGAGCTTGCTCTGTAGCTACTTATGGCTTCTGGGAGCCCTGTTGAGTTTTGAAAATCTGGTGATGGGGTTTCTGCAGCTTCCCAAAGCCTGTCTTCTCATGCTGACCCCCTCTCATTATAACAAAACCTTCCATTCTATTCAACTAGCGGGTTTTTATGTTGCAATCTGACTGTTGCTTCCTGCTCTTTTGCTGGGCACCCATGATGTTGTGGTCCATTTTTGTTTAGTGCTAATAATAAACTAAAGCAGCAGTGCCTCTGTGTGAACAGAAGTTAGCAGTTCTGTCACTTCAAACTGATGATCATGTAACTGCTATTGAAAACTTGGACCACTTGTTTTGATTGTCTTTATGAAGAAAACCAATGCTTTAATGTCTCCTTTACTACTTAAGTTGGTTGTAGTGGCAGGAAAAAACAAGACCCTGTCATCTTTAGTCTTCATCATGATGCAGTTAATGCAGCTTCTGTGCATTTTAGTACTAATTATAATAACTAAGGATGGTTGAAGTCTGGAGGACCTCCTCTGGTCATCTTTTTGACCTCTCTCATGATCTCCATAAGATGTCCCTTGTGTCTAACAGCCTGATTAATTTCCAGCTATTTATATTTCCTATATTAAAAATCTTAATTCTGGCATTCTTTCTGGGGCTTTTTTCTTACCTTAGATTATTTGTCTTTGTGTAGTTTATTTAGATTATAGAATTGAGGCTACTACAATTGAGGTTCCTGGGTAGTTTATTTTACTGTTAACTGCCACTGTTTCACCTTTTGCCCCAACCAAGTGATCTTTTCTCCCGACACTTAATGAATTTCTAGTTCCCTTTTGGTGCTGCACTGAAACACTTCAACTTCTCAAATTAGAGAACACTGGGTTTGTCAGGTGAACTTCTCCCTGAGAAGGCACTGAAATGGCCTAGCAAGTGTCAAGCAAGTTCTAAAGCTGTTGCAAATAAGGAGGTGGAAGAAACCTGTGTGTTGGACTGATAGTGCAGCAGATACTGATTAGATAGGTGTAGGTTGTAAGAAAACATACCACTCTGTACTGGCTCTTCAGCTTTCATTATGGAGACCAGTCTTTTCATTTCCTCAGGCTACTTCCTGATGTCTTCTAAAATAATCTTTTTCTGATATCTGAACTGTTTCAAACTTTTCCTTTACCTTGGAAGCACTTTTGACACTATCTTAAGTTCACAAGGTAATTTGATAGAAACAGAGTCAGGAAACACTGTTTCCTTTAAACCTTACCTATGGAAGCTGCAAGAGGGCATGAAACTGCCAGTGATATGAAATAGGTCAGCAAGAGAGATACTAGAATAGGCTTATCCAGTGAACTCACAGAAAACACAGGGAAATGTTCCTGATAGTACTGAGAATGAGATAATGGACCAAAAGTTTATTCAAACAAATAGGTGTGTAAAGTTGCCTTCAGTAAGTACTCTATCCTTTGATTTCATGAGTGTTTAAATAGGCTGTTCTTGCAATTGTATCTTGGGAAAGGGATTAAATTCCTGGAGTGTGAGTTTTAATCTTTGGGACAATGTTCACTGAACACCAGGTGGCTTGGTGCTCAAGAAAATGCTTACAGTAAAGTCTTTATTTTGTCCTACAGCACTCACCAAATAGGACCATACTAGATATTTGCTGCCATTTTATGGTGGTCTTAGTGTTTTTTAACAGTTGTTTTGATGAATTTTGACTGAATGCAATGTTTGTAGCTAAGGAGTATAATTGGTTCATTAGCTCTAAAATCATATCTTAATCAGATGTGTTTTGCCATGAGTTTATACAGTGTGCAGTTTTATGTGCTTAAATTTATTTCCATTTAAGCAGGTGCTGAATGTACCTGTTGCTTGCGTGGCAGCTATGGAATAAAAGCAGCCTATAGTGTTAAAACTCTTCTTTTTTTGATGAGTTGTTAAGGTTCTGTTCTACTCAAATGTAGTCAGCTACAAGCCTAATGTTGTGAACAGTTTATTGCACACCTCAGGTAGTGTGTGATACTGGTCTACCTAGGAACAAGCAGAGTGTAGGAAGCTTCTCAGAAGAAATTGTGGCTGTTGTCTTTCTGCCAAGAATTTTCCAAATGATGTTTTAGAGGGAATAGTCTGTACTTTAAGAGCTCAGTACTGAATATAACCACACAAAGTGTGGGAATAGAAACATGAACTCTCCACTTATCAAAACATGGTTCACAAGAGAAATGTGATAATGGATGACACCTGACACTCAAGAACTGACTTCGGGAGATTTCAGGTTTGTAAATCTAAACATTTAAAAACACTGTTTATTTCATTTTCCCCTAGTCATGTTTCTAATAACAGCTATTCCATAAGTCCTAGCCAATGGCTTCTTTTAGAACTGTAGCAACAGTGAAGATCATGCAAGTGGAAGCACTTCAGGGAGTAACTTTGAATCTGAAAACATTACACATAAGACTATGTGATCCAGGACTTAGAGCAAACTGGATGTTGAGAGAAGCATAAATCTGTACTAACAGTAAAGGCAAGTTGCCTGAAGAGGAACCTCAGTGACAGAGAATATAGTTATTTAAAACATTATCCATTTCAAGTATAGTCTCACAAAAGTCATGGTTAAATTACAGTGACAGACTTAACACTTGTCTCTTCTTGTCATAGGTTATCATTGAAGTGACAGAGATGTTGCACAATGCAAGCCTCCTTGTGGATGATATTGAAGATAACTCAAAGCTACGACGAGGCTTTCCAGTGGCACACAGTATCTATGGAATTCCATCTGTAATCAACTGTGCTAATTATGTTTATTTTCTTGGCTTAGAGAAGGTTTTAACCCTTGATCATCCAGATGCTGTTAAAGTTTTTACTCGTCAACTTCTGGAACTCCATAAAGGTCAAGGCTTGGATATTTACTGGAGGGATACGTACACCTGTCCTACAGAGGCTGAGTATAAAGCCATGGTACTGCAAAAGACAGGAGGTCTCTTCGGATTAGCTGTAGGCCTCATGCAGCTCTTCTCAAATTATAAAAAGGACTTAAAGCCGCTCCTTAACACACTTGGTCTCTTCTTCCAAATAAGAGATGACTATGCCAACTTGCACTCCAAAGAATATAGCGAGAACAAGAGCTTTTGTGAAGACTTAACTGAGGGCAAGTTCTCATTCCCAACCATTCATGCAATTTGGTCAAGACCTGAAAGTACTCAGGTGCAAAACATTTTACGTCAAAGGACGGAGAACATAGATATAAAAAAATACTGTGTACATTACCTTGAAAATGTTGGTTCCTTTGAGTACACTCGGAATACATTGAAAGAGCTTGAATCTGAAGCCTATAAGCAAATTGAATCACTTGGGGGAAACCCTGAGCTTGTAGCACTAGTTCAACAGCTGAGCAAAATGTTCAAAGAAACGGAAAATTAAGAAATTGACTTCTGTGTGTCTTTTGAAAATGGGAGAATAACCAGATGGAGAGTTGTGATAATCAGTCTTGTGTAAAACTTCCTCTTGTAGCCATGTTACAGAAATTACTGTTAAAAATAACTAGTCATTGAGTTTTGAAATATATACCTTATTATCTCTAAAGTCTTAACTGTAACTGCTTACAGTTGATTTTGTTGAAGCAGATGTACTAGAACTAAAACATGTTTTGAACCTAAGTGTAATAGTCTTGACAGAATCACAGGCATTATTTCATACCTAAAACTCTCATGCCCCTAACCAGGCTATGAAAGGATTTTGGTTGAAATTCTGTGTTAAATTAAATCAAAGGTTAACATGTATATAAATTATATAACATGTATATAAATTATATAACATGCATATAAATTAAATCATAGGTTGACATGTATATATTATGCATTTTAAACAATGCTTTTGTAAACCAAAATTTGTGTTAAAAAAAAGACGGTACTTCAACCACAATGCACATAACATTGTGTGATATTTCTAAGTTTGACTTGTGAAGATCAGGGGGATCAGTTTACTATGTCCGAGGTTGAATATCCTATCCAGCCTCTGTGGATATTTTCAGGGGAATGTGAATTATGAAAGATACTATTTCATATGCAAATAAGACATGCTCAGTCTGAAATTGTGACTTGATAAAGATTTTGCAGTACCTTAGAGAAAAGATTTCATCACATCAACAGAGTGTAAATTTGCTGCTGATTCCAGCTCTGTAGTGAGTAATTTTGCTCACCTGGTTTTAGATTTTAAAATTGTCAAGCATTCTATAGCCAGAAACTTAAATCTGTGCATTAGAGCTCATATATGTAAGTGCAAATAGCAACGTAATGAGCTGCTATTAGAAATGGAAAGGGATTCATTCCAGGTAACTTTAGGACACCATAATTGGTGCTGGTCTCTTTAATCTCTGCTTATAATTGAGGGGCTCCTCCAAGACTTTATTCATAATTCATATTTCATTCCTATCCTGAATTGCTGTCTAGAGGCATGTTCTGTATCTCTTCAAAGAGACAAGAGCTGTAATTTTTTTCTTAAAACAAAGTACAGTATCTTGTTTTACAAGCTACAATACCACTTCAGTTTTGTTAATTGCTTAAACAGAGCTTTAAAATTATAGACATACCAAAATAGAACTGGGACTGAGAGCAAGATTTAGGGGTAGGGCTGATAAGTAACTAAGTTCTCTGCTCAGAGATATATATAAAGTATAAAAATATATATATATATATATATATATGTTAATAAAATGTAAGCAGATATGTTTGGTTTTTTTCTTGCCTGGACTGGCTTTAATCAGGTTCAGTTCCCTTAGTATTCACAGGTATATTAAGCTTTGCCTTGGGGTAGGAAGGTAATGGTTTGGATCAAAGGTAGGACTGGTGCTATAAGCTGTGGTGTTAGCTCAAGCATAGTCTGAAATGGACAGAGGTGCTTGGCTTCTGATGGCTAAAGGATAGTTTTATGCAGGTGTTCATTTATTGCACCTGGAAAACAGGGAGAGCTATGATCTCGGCCCACTGAGAAAACTAACTGAAGAAGGTTGCTGTAATGTCTTTCCTGGGCAGCCTTAATATCTTTCTGAAAGTGATCAAACATGGCAAAATTGGGGATGACTGCTTTCAGGCTGAAATATTATGTAGTTATGGATGATAGCCTGTCCCTTTCATCTGCATGCTGAGGAGAAATCTTTGATTAGACACTGAATAATAGGCTTTTCAGTGAATGGAATTGGTTGTGAGGACTGAATAGCTTAAAGTTGGTGAAAGGTGTCTTTAATGTTAATCAAAGAGAATTGTTATTCCTTTTTCATAACTTGCAGTGCTTAGTAAGCCTGTAAGTTTTTAATGTGTTATGTGAAAATACTATCTGCAGCAAATTACATTTATTTTGTGCCATGTCTTGGAAGTTTCTAAGCACTGTTGCAGTTAATGTTGAATAGGGGAAAGCATTGAAAAGATTATTGTTGTCAGGAGAATCTCCTAGTCTTACTGTGAAATGTATCCTTGTGCCTGTTGGGATATTGTTACTGCAACACAATGCAAAGTGCACTTAGTGCCATTTCATTTCTGTTCTGTTGCTGGATGTAAACAGTTCTGTACAATCAGACTTCCATAATGAAGTAGCTTTTCTTACTGTTTGTATAAAGCTTTTCTACCATCTGAGATTTCTGCTATGTCATTGCTCCTTTTTTTCATTCTGGCAATTCACCCCAGTATTTATTCTAATTCTCTATCTTGTGGCATGTGCCTTCATTAGGAGTAGGTACATAGCTGTTTTCCAGTTGCACACCATTTAAACCACGAATGGGTAAGAAGGGAACAGTTGGTCCAGCTTTCTTTTCCCAGGTTACAAGAGGCCATGCAGCTCCCTCTTCTGCCTTCAAGGCGTTTGATGTCAGCATTCAAAGCATATGATGAAGGCATATCTGGAAAGGCCCACATCGTTGCTCTTCACTTAGGTTAGGATAAACAGGATTGTGAGAGCTGTTCTTGATGTATTCAGGAGTCAGAAGAGGCTGGGATATTTCCCCTTCATCTGTTAAGATGGTAGAGCATCTTTAAGTACTAAATGCCAGTAGAAATGATGTCTCTTAGTCAAGGTAGATTTTATATTTGGTGCCGTAAGATCAGTCTGCGCATTTCCATCGATATCCTCCAAGGTTATCACTGGTTAAGTGTTAACTTAACGATGTTTTCACTATTAAGTGATGCTCCTGAGGTTAAGTAGTGTTAAGAAAAACCCTTCTTTAAAGCAGCATGGGAGTTCTTGTGACTGCACAGTTGTGTGAGTGCCCCTCTGTTGCTATGCCTCCCACAACACAGGGAGTAGGGATTTTTCCTGATCTTCATAAAATATGCACTGTTGTAGAATGGCAATCCAAGTTGCAAGTGGAGATGCCCACGGGGAAACAAAGGGGATGCTGGTTTCAATGTCAGTCCCTTTGAGCCAGAATCATTCCCCTTATCTTCCTACCATTGCCAGCAAGTTGCACTTTGATCAGGTTATCAGTGCATTTCCTGGGGATTTAGTTCTTGCAGTTCATATTAAGAGAAATGCAAATACTCATCAGTCTGGAGCATTGCCCACTACCTCAGTCTGTTTTCTGATTTTGTGCTTGCTTGGATGTAAATGAGTACTGTCATCTGTCTTAGAGTAGCCAGCCATTGGATGGGACATCTCTGTCTTTGCTTTTTCGTAGGCTTATGTTTATACATATACCCCATCAATTATGATGAAAATTGCATCATGTTAAAACCTTCTTGAGAAGATAGCTTTCTCCTCTCCTTTTGAACTCAGGCTGTTCAGGTACCCACTCAGAGCAAATTTGTATGTATCAGCCAGTTCTTGATATAAACAATGCAGAAATGTTAATGGGAAAAAAACTGTTGGCTGTTCTTCATTTCTGTTTTTTTGTTAATTTTGCTAATCTGGCTGCATGTGCTATAGAAATTTCCTATATTAATGGCTGTTTTCCTCAATTATTGTTAAAATGCTAGTAAGGTATAAAAATGTGGTGTTTGTGAGATGGTTTGCATTTCTAATGTAAAAATTGGTTTGAACTTTAATACACCTTTACCACTGAATTGCACCAGGCTTTTATTCATGTGCAAGAGCCATGTGGGCATCTGTTGCTCTTCTTTGTCCCATCTTCATCATTTTACATTTCAGGTTTGGTATTTACTATGCTCTTTGTATTATTTGCCCAGTACTTCCACTGTAATTCTTCTTTCAGCTATATTTCTATTCTGCTGTTAATACCAAGCACACATAATACCATCAAACTCAGTTTTGATCCTGGACAAACATACTAGTCTGGGACTACTTTTGAAATGTTGAATCTTGGCTCATAATTTGTCTTCACAAAAGTAATCCAAGATTGATCCAAGATTTTCTGCAACCTTGAAATGCCTGAAACTTTTTTCCAGGAAGCTGAAGCCTGTAACATCTTATATGACCATAAATTATTTTTGTCTCATATAGGTTGAGCTACTTTCCTTGCCCTACCTGTTTGCTTTCAAGATCCATTTTGCTTTGGTGGTAATGCCTGTTAGGTCTTTTTATGAATGAGCTTAACTAACTAGCCCTGCGGGAGGGAAGTTAATTTTTGTCCAGGTTAATGAATTATCCCACTCAGCAAGAGCCTGATGAATGCCAGAGCTGGCAGGTGGACAAAGGCCAAGGAAAGGATTTCAGAATAAGAAAACTCATTTTGGCCTCCTAAGGCTGCCTCATGTAATTTTGCCTTCTTTTACAGAATTTACTTGGCTTAGTTAGGAAAAGCTAAAGTGTGTGGTTAGTTTCCCTGAGCATCCCAAACAGACTGTGAGAGATACTTAAGTTAAAAATTATTTATTCTGACAATTATTTATGTAATTTGCATATATCATCTAAAGATTTTATTAAAGGTACAGATAAAACAGAGTACATTGTTTCATTACTTTATTTTTTCTTCTCTTAACAATTTTTCTGTTCTTGAAGTCATGGAAATATAATCTGCCATGTGCCTGTTTGAGTTGATTTCTACCTCACACTAACACCCTTCCTGAAAAAGTTTTATTGCAGCTGAGCATCAGCATTCAACCTTTTTTGCAGCACTTTTTAAAAATTACTTCAGAGGCACCTTGTTGAGGTGTGGCTAGGAATAATCCATGATTCATTAACTCACTTCAAGCATATAATCTGCAAAACTTCTTATAAAGATGCAGGTTAAACCACATGAACCCTGATAGTGTTCCTCACCTGTGTACCCTATGGAACAAGTGCATTCTCAGTTAATCTACTGAAAAGGTATTTACTGATTATCTGTTTAGTACAGCATAGAGAACCATGGGAGATAGACCAAAAAGGCCTAACGTGACACTTGCAGGGAAAGCACTACACAACCTGACATGAATTTGTGTAGAAGACTAACTGAGGTGAAGGGAAATCATAGATAATTATCTGCTTTTGAGCTCCTGGAAAATGCTCTACTCATTGCTATATGAATTACATGCTGACTGTTAAGCAGCTGCATCATCTCTTGCACACAGTAGGTCATTTACACTCTCTTCATAATGCTTCAGTTGCTATTTCTAGAGCATATAGTGTAAGCTTCTTAATCACTCAGTAATTACTGAAGTCTCTAGAATGGCAAATGCATACATTTTGTTTATGTATTTTGAAATACCTAAAACCTCTTTTATTCTCTTGGGATCTGTGTTACTCTACAGAGAACTTCTGTTGGCTGAGGGAGGCATAACCTTTCACTGACTGGAGTTACTAAAACCAGGCTGACACCAAGCCTGTGAACAGATTGGAGTGGAAAAAAGGTTTGCAAGGAAAAAAAACCCAAAGTTCTTTAAAAGTAGAATTTCCTATAATTGCAGAGCTACTATATGAAGCATGGAACTAACTCAAACAGTTTTTCTGTGGTTTTGACTGAAGAACCTATAGCTAACTGCTTTCTTTTGGGGTGGGATGGAATGTACAGGTCAAAGTAAAAGCCACACAGAGGAATTGTCATTGCTACTCACAGAAGTGTAAAAACTGTATTATAAACCTAATCTCTTACCTTTTACACCAACCAGCCTGAATGTTCAATAAGTTCAGAAGATAAATCCATTTTTACTTAAGTGTTTATAAAATACTGAAGTTGTAATTGAAGGTAATGATGTGAAAATGTTAAATTGGTCTAGTTTCATTGGCATTGGGACTGTCCTGTTCCTTGTCAAGCAGATCATGAGCTATGGCTGTTTGTTGATTACCAAACTGAAACAAGACGTACAAAGAAGCAGAAAGAACAAGCAGTAAGTTTTGCTATTCTCATTATCACTTTAGAAATAAATTTGACAACATGCATGTAGATTGTGAGAATGGCTGCATCACCTGTCAAAACAAGGGATAAAACAAGGGCAGCTGGGGTCAGAAAGAACAAAAAGAAGTATTTTCTTGTTTTCAGCGCCTTTCCTGACAGGCAGTACACAAAGTGGAGGATGCTCTCAACTTTGACCTTGGGAACAGTGGGGGAGTCAAGAGGAGAGCAAGAGACCTCACTGCTCTCACTTGTACCACTTCCATGTACCTTCAGCTACATGGCTTGAAACTGGAATAGATCGTTCCAGGAGTGCCCTCTGTGGGAGATGAGTGGGCTTAGGAACCCAGATGAGACAGCAGCCCCACAAAAATGTGGAAGAAGGACTAGGGTATCTATTTTTTCCCCCAATTCTATTAGTTGGCCTGAAATAACACACTACCTATGGCAAGGGAGGACTATGAAATAAAGGGACAGAGTTCTTTGCTGGGCTGTCCCCTTTGTGCAAGAGAGTAAAGTGCACCCTTAAAGCCTTTTAATTGAAGATGCAAGCTATCAGCATGCTAAAGAATATACACATTATCCAGATTGTTTTGATTGGAATGTAGTAGTGTTACCAAATACCCATATCTCATTTCTGTAGTCAGTATCGCAGCCTCAGAGTAAAGAGTATTAATATGCTGTCTGCCAAAAGGACAGACAGATTTAATGTAATGGAGCTGTAGGACTGAAAGAGCTGATGTTGATTATTTACTGTCATGATTGCTTCAGTCTTGGTGGTGCCAACATTCAAATGATATTGTTTGCACTAAGCTGTTATGAGACACTGAACTATGAAACACAAGAGATTATAAAAGGTGAAAAACATCAATTAGGATACTTTGATTTTTACAAACAGAGCTCTTAGATCTTGCCATACCTATCTCTGTCAAACTGAAGAGCTCTCACTCAATTTCTGTTCCTCACCGACTGGTACTAGAACGCAGTCAAGTCTTTCATTTTTTGCTGTTAATCTTACGCACAGTGGACACCATGGTTTTCCTGGATCCCCCCCGGAATATTTCCCCCAAATACTGAATGTTGAACTAAACGCAGCAGCAAATGTAGCAGCGTACAGAGGAATACAACCGTGCGGGAGTCCGCCAGGCCCGGGGGTGCTCCGGGGGAGCTCTGCTGCTCGGCGAGCCGCCCACGTTCTCCTCAGCTGCTGCTCCCGGGACAGCACCCCAGCCTTGAGCTACGAACTCGGAACCGTCTTCTGCTCAGTGTCGGTTCACCGGTGCCGCAGCGCTTTGCCCACTCCGTGCTGCTTTACAGCACAGCAGCGCTTCCCCGGTACATCTTTTCTCTCTCCTCACCGCTCGCCGCAACTCTGCGGCCACTCCCAGGGAGGCGCAATTCTCGGGGACGGGCGGGACACCCGGCACCGCCCCGCGGGCCCCGCTCGCCCAATCAGAGCACTCGCCTCTCACTCCGCGGCCTGCTGGGAGCTGTAGTCCGGAGCCGGCAAGCCCGCGCAGCGGGGCCACCTCGGTGAACACCATTACCCAGAAAGCTCCACGGCGGCGACGCCCCAGGCCGATTTGCCCCTGAAGGCGGTGTCTCGAGCAGAGTAGAAGGCGGGGCGGGCCAATAGCGGGCCAGGGCAGGGCTGGCCGGGGGTTCGTGACCAATCGGAACGCTCCGAGAGCCGGGCGGGGCGGGGCGGTGGGTGCCGCGCGGGGCGGAAGTGCGGCAGCGGAGTGGCCCCGCCGGTGCGTGAGTGGCGGCCGCGGCCCTGCGCGTGTGGGGCGGGGGCTGAGGGCGGCCCACAGAAGCCGGCTCTGCTCGGGGAGTGGGGAGCGGCACGGGGTGGCGCCGGGAGGCAAAAGAGAAGCTCAAGGTAGGGGCGTTGTGAGAGCAGTGGCTTGCGCGTGTTTTAAGGGCGTTTCTCCTGTGCCTGCAGGTCCGGGAGCAGCCCGGTTCCCGCGGCCCCGGGATGGATACCGGGCTGCCTCCCGACGCGCTGGGTCGGCGGGTCGCCTGTGGCACCGACTACGGGACTGTGCGCTATGTGGGCAGCGTGTCTCCTACTGCAGGTAAGCGCCACACAAGTAATAATCTTCACATTTTATGGCTCTTCTCGAGGTTCTACTCATGTTCTTCTTAATTAAAAAAAAACACTGTCGAGTAAAACGAGGCAATTTACAACTTGATTTTTCCTCATTGTTCTTTTGTAAATATAATGAGTTCTAATCTCTGTGAGGGTTTTGGGTGTTTTTTTTTAAAGTCAGTCAAACTCTTTTTTTAAAGAGTTGTCAAAAAGAGTGTAAGAAGAACTTCACAGTCTTTTCCCTGATCTCTGTGCAGACAGAGTCAGGGAAGGTAAGAGGCAGCAGCAGCAGATCACCAGACCAGGTGTTCCTTTGATAACATATTGTGTTGGGTTTGTGTGACAAGGCTCTAAGAATGGCAGGGGCTACAGGGGTGGTATCTGCCACCAGAGAAGCTGCCAGAAGCTTTCTCTATGTCCTACAGAGCTGCTGCCAGCTGGCTCCAGGGTGGACCTGCTACTGGCCAAGGCTGAGCCTGTCAGTAATGGTAGTTGCACCTCAGTGAAACCTTCTTTAAGAAGGGGAAGGAAAAGAGACTCTTTGCACGAAGGTAGCCGTGGCCATAGAAGAGCTGAGTGAGAATATGTGTGAGGAGCAGCCCTGCAGACACAAAGGTCCATGAAGAAGGAGGGGAAAGACATACTCCCCACTCTGGAGAGGAGATTCCTCTGCAGATCTACTGAGACAGACAGGCTGTTTCCTGGCAGCCCAGGGGGATCAGCAGGGATTCAGAGATCCACCTGCTGCCCGTGGAAGAGGCACACACAGGTGGATGCCTGAAAGGAAGTGGTGACCACACCAGAGCAGGCTCCTGGTAGACCTGAGAGATAAGCCCTGCTGGAACAGGTTTCCTGGTAGGTCTTGTGTCCTGGAGTAGCCTTTTCCTGAAGGACTACACCCCATGAACAAAGGGTTCCACATTGGAGCAGTTCCAAAGGAAGCATGCTGTAGCCTGTAAGGAGGAGTTGTGTTGGACCACTCCATGGAGACTGTCTTCTATGGGAGGAACCTGCACTGGAGCAGGGGAAAGACCACCCTCTTTGAGGAGGAAGCAGCAGAAATAAGGTGTGATGAACTGACTGTAACCCCCATTCTCCACCTCTCTGTACCTCTCAGGGAGGAGGTAGAGCCCAGGAAAGAGGGAGAGCTGAGGTGGGGGTATTTTTAAGATTTGTTTACTTCTCATTAGGCTACTCTGATTCTGGTTGATAATAAATTCAATTGCTTTCCCCAAGTCTTGTTTTGCCCATAACAGTAATCAGTGAGTGATCTCTCCCTGTCCTAATCTCAGCTCATGAGCCTTTTGTTGCATTTTTTCTCCCCTGCTCAGCTGAGGAGGGGAGTGACAGAGTGGCTTTGGGTGGGCACCTGGTATCTAGCCTGGGTCAACCCACTATAGATGTTCCAATTTATGGGAAGATTCCTGGTGCTTGGAAGAAGACCAGCCTTGCATACAGTTCTAGAAGAGGCAAGAAGGATGACCAGGAAATGTAGACTCATGAGCCTCACTTCAGTTTCGGGAAAGATGACATAGCATGTTTCCTTGGAATCCATTCCAAGCCTGTGAAGGACAGGATGGTAGTTGGGAGTATTTGGTACTTGTAAATAAGAAGAAGTTGTGCTTGGCAAATGTCATTACTTTCTATGATGATATGACTGTGAATGTGGATGAAGGGAGAACAAGTCAATATTCCTTGACTTCAGTAAGTCTTTGAATAATGTCTTTGTAAAGAATTTTATTTGGAAGCTGAAGAAATACAAGGTAGGTGAATGGACTGTTAAATGATTCTAAAGTTGTCAAGTGACAAAGTAATTAATGACTTGACATCTGGTAATGAGTGGGTACTACAAAGGTAAATGCTGGAGTGTGTATTGTTTCATGTATTCCTCAGTGACTTGGGTGATGAACAGTGTTCACCCTCAAATGGCTGCTGTGATACAAGATAGAATTGCAGTCCAGGTCAAGGTTTATGAACTTTAGGTTTGAGCCCAAGAGATTTAAGGAGGATAAATTTCTCTGTGTAATTTCACTTCTCTGTGACCAGGAAGTATTAGTGACTCAGAGAGCCTGTTGTAAAGGGCTTGGGAGCTAAGTTGGATACTGTTATTTATATGAGCCAGCAGTGACCCCTGTAACAAGCCAAGATACATGTTGTACTGGGTTACCTTAGAGGGAAGTGAGGAACATGGCCTGCAAGTTAAAGGAAGAGGTTATCCCTCTCTGGGTGCAGGGGTTCTTGACAAGGTTACACTTGGAATAATGTAAAAATCTGCTGTAGAACTATTCCAGTTCAAGAGGGAGGCAGACAAAACTTGATAGGATCTCAAAGATCTCCTCTCTTGAGGAGTCTTGGAAGGTTACCAGGATGGTAAAGGGCACAGACCATCACATGTGTTGTGGAGAGGTTGAGGTATCTAGGCTTGGTTAATGTGGTGAAGAGAAGAAAAAGTGCCATCCAATGGCTTCCTGCAGCTGTTTGACAGCTGGGTACAAAGATGGCAGAGCCTAACTCTTCTTACAAGTACTAGATTCTACAGTAAAGGATAATGGCCACAGCAGGAAAACCTTTCCCATTGCATTGCTACATTACAATGCAGCACTGGAATATGCTCACCAGATGTGTTGCAATCTTTCTCTCCTTAGAAATTTTCAGGGTCTGGCTTGGTAACAAATTACCTGACTTTTTTTGGTGCTGGTGATAATCTCCTACTTTGAGAGAGAAGGTTAGGCTAAGTGAACTGCAGAGGTTCTTTCCAGCCGTGATTTCTATGGATATGATGCTGTAAATTTAAAAAAGTATCAACCATTTTTTTCAGGAATTTGGCTGGGCATGGAATGGGATGATCCTCAGAGGGGAAAGCATGATGGCAGCTATGAAGGAACACAGTATTTTAAGTGCAGGTGAGTTGGTTCACAGCCTTGGCAGGTCATATGTGCTGACAAGATGCTCATGGGAAAAGGCCCTTTTGCAATTTTTAGGGCAAACCCTTCTGTTATCAGTTGGCCAATATTAAAAAGATCATAATTCTGAGTGCTCTGACTAGCTAACCCATAGAGGCTTCTGCACTGATATTTATCCAGTTATAGGTATTAGGGTATAGTAAATATTTAGAAAAAACAAGTCATGTTGGTATGTTATAAAATGAGACTTTTGGATGTTATTACTATTCTTAGTAGGTTTTAGGTCTTTTGCTTTAGTTAGGAAATCAATATTTCCTAGTGACTTTCATTAAGTAATTCTGAACTGAAATATTGGTCCATATTAAGTGTCTCAAATACAGTTTGTATTTGAATTTAAGCTGACTTGCATGTATCTTGTTAAGGGAAAATGCCAAAATCCTGTGAATGATTTTGGTTATATTTGTATCACTAAGGAATTGTTAAATATATTCATTGGATTTAGTACATGCAAAACATAGTGCAGCTGTGTGGGGTTTTTAAATATATGCATGCATTACTTTTAAGTGAAAGGGTTTGAGCACTTAACATGTTTGAAATTGTGGAATACAGGACTCTAAGATGGATATTAACTGCAGCAAGTCATTGATATCTATGTCAGGACACATGCAACAGCTGAAAGTTTGTAAGTTAAATAGTAACTGGATGAGTTCACAGAAGGAAGTCATCAATAGCTCTTAAATGCTACAGACTGCTAGCTCAGTAAGTTCCTGAGCATAGAAGTGGTGAAAGAGGAGAGAACAAAATCTATTCTGCAGAAAAATAAGAAGAACACCCACCTGTGAGGACTGGATATTTTTTCCCTTGTATCAAATAATAATAAAACAAGGCTTGAGGAGGCTAAACACAATACAAGAAAAAAGTCAACATTGCTGGATTTTTTGTTTCAGCTAAAGAATTGGAAATCATGTTTTTAGCACAATCATGTCTTTTAAATTAATATATTGGTGGAAGTTGCTTCCTAAATGTTTTGAATTTACTTGAAACAGTTTCCAAGTTGAAACTAGCTATGTTCTGCTGCAGGAGGAAACAGTAGAAACAATTGTCTGACCATTCCAAATCTCTCTGGACAGAAAAGGCAATTGAACATTTCGTGAATGTTTTTTCAGATACTTGAGTGCTTTACATTTGTGTGTATATAATATTTATATATCAGTGTATAGACTCTTTGGTTTTTAGCAGCCATTAGTGTGCTTCCAGGAGATGAGACAGACACCTTCATTCTTGATGTAAAAATCAATGTTTTGAGTGAAGCTCAATACCTATAACAAATGTAAATGTTGTGGTCTTTAAACATGTTGTTCTTTCAATACTTGGCTAGTTTCCAATCAGAAGAGGTCCTGCTGGATTCTAAGAGAATACATGGTTCCAGCAGCCCACCAAGACACAGACATAACTTCCTGTGGGCAGACACATTTGTAGTTCTTTTATTGACTATTGGGAAAATGTAGGCAAACTTAAGTAAGAAATAGTTACCTTATTTTAGCAAAATGGTGCTGAAAAACAAAACCCTCCCACAACTTAAAACATCACTTCTTTACTACTACTGATTAGGAGGGAATAATGTTTCTTTGTAGATGAATATACACATCTAAAAAAAATGCTGTATTTTTCCCCTTATCATGAGTATCCTCTGCCTACAAGCCTACTTTGCTCACTCCTTGAATTCTGATAAGCAGAAGCAGCTGATCAAGTAGCTTGTGCTGTAAACAAATGCAGTGAAAGTGTTTTTAAGGCAATTTTGAAAATAACTGCTTTAAAAAATACATCTTTCAGAGTGACATTTGAAAATAAGACCATAAGAGGAAAATAAAACGGATTTTGAGATTCTCATTACCAGAGAATCTTCTTTCTTTTCAAGTCCTTACTTGAAACAGTAGGTCTGCTTACAGCTCTATGTAGGTTTTTCCCTATAGTAGGTTTTTTGAAAATATGACCTAAACTTTTATGTTTTGTGGCAGTATGTTTATCTGGGTCATTATGTGGTGATAATTGAACTTCTTAAGAATATGAATACTAAGGAACAAAACAGCCATGCTTCAAATTATGCTGACATCATGAGCATGTTCATCAACCCAGTATCAGCTAGAAATGGCAATGGACAATCTAGTGGTGGTTTTGTGTTCAATTTTTCCCTGATAATAGGATCTTGTTTCTTAATAACTGAGGAAGCTACTATTTTAGCTGTCAGTTGCAGTAGTGTATCATGTAATTAAATTATATTCACAGTCCTTCAAGAGAAATGAGTAATCAAGCCTTAAAACAGTGTTAAAATTTGTATACAGCTTTTGAAACACGAGTGTGCTTTCCAACATGTCCCACAGACCCGCTGACACATTTGTATGCATGTGTTCCCCTGGGAAATGTGGGTTTCAAGCACACCTTCCTCCCCTGGTTGTCCTATACTTGTTGCATGATGATCTGCTCCATGATGATTCAAGATTATCTGCTCCATGAAAGATCTGTTTATATTAAATTAGGGCTGTTTTTTCTTCAAGGGTGACACATTCACCTCCAGGAATATCTACTTAGAGCAGAAACAAACTCTTCAAATACAGGAAAAAACATCATTTTAGTGCCCATGAAAAAAAATTATTTCCATTTTGCAGAGGCAGAAAGCATTCCTAAGATTCCTGAGAAGGTTTCAGTTAAGAAGTTTTGTTCATCAGAAACTCGTGCTCTTTGCTGCCAGTAGAACTGTGTTGAAACAAAAGGTTGTCCCTAACCGCTGCTCAAGCATGTACTGTGCACCAGCAGAACCCCGAGATACCATCTAAAACTACAGATGTCTGTCTGTCTTTCCTTGTTTTTTGAAAGCCCAGAGTCAAGTTTCATGTCTGTCTGTCTGTAAACTTTCAAGAACTTGAAGTACTTGCTCATGCTTGCAAAACTTCTGCTGTTCAATCAGAAATTGATACACCATGGCAGGTTAGTGTCAGGTGGCATTTATAAGCATTGTTTGGTGCCATGGCCTCTTTCTAAAACTTGAAGGATTTTCTTTACTGCTGTGTGTAGATTCTTCTAATAGAAGTTTTGTCTGTTGAACACCTTCCCCTAGAGGGAGGAGATCTGTTCAGATCTGTGTAGAATAGACATGCATGGATTCAAACAGCTCTACTTTATGACACATTGTGAGCCTTGTAGTGCATTTGCTGCAGTCATGGTGGTAATTATCTGGAGTTGATCATTTCAAACAGACTATTCTGGGCAAAGAAGCCCTTTGATCCATGTTTACTGCCTAGGCTGATAAAGCTGACATCTCTCTCCATGGCTCAGAGCTTCTGCATTCAGACAGCTCAAGTGTGTAGCTGTTATGATTTATGTACTCCTGATTTTTCTTCAGTACTGAGAAATGTGTGTGTGTGATATTTCCCTAGCATATGAAGAGCCATCATGTACCTGTAATGATAAGCAGTGCTATCATTTTGTTTTACATTAGCAAAGAATGATGCCAAATTTCCTCCTTACTCAGTGGAAGCTGACAGCTAATCTCAATTTTAATGAATATCCTTGAAGCACCCTGGGCATGCTAACAGATGGGTTGGATGCTTCAGGCTACTGAATCATGAATAGGAAGTGTCCTAGAAGATGACTTCTAAGATTGGGGTCAACCTCTCTATTTTAAAAGTCAGTAGGAAGTGTCAGTATTAACTAGAGCCAGCCACTTGCCAGAGCCCCACTTGTGCATATTCCACATTTTCTGCTTAAGGAAATTGGACCATATCTTCTACCACTCTATTTCCTCACTGTGTTTTGTTCTGGCTGCAAGACAATTTGCATACATGAGAACAAAATCCCTGTTCTCGGACTTCTGAGTGTTCATCTTAAGTGAGGTTGATCAGTAATCCATAGGTTCTTCCATCTCATAATATGCATGCTGGATGACTCTTTGGATTATGATTTATCTGTTTAGTTCCCAGTTATGGAGACTGATGGCTAATAGGTGTGGTTTTGCTTTTGTTCATGTGCTGTACATTATTTGTTTGATATGTACATGCAGCTTGTACGGTTCATATGTCCTCATGTGAAATTAATTACAGGCAATGTGTTTTAGGGAAAATGAATTACAGTGACTTCTCTCTTTGAATGCGCAATAATTTTGCCTGAAAATAGGTTCCTATTGCAGTTTCCTTTCCTGTCTTTTGTGACAGCTCCTAAAAAAGTAGATCAAATAAATAGACTGGAACTGAAAAAGAAGCTTAGGCTTTGGAATGGATTTAAATATACATTAGTTAACTTATAATAGTGTGCAGAGTAATGGAAAGTGATACCAACAAGAGAGAGAAAACCTATGACCTTTTGATCAGGACAAAAAGAGAAGGGTCTTGAGAGATAAATACACTAAAATTTTCCTATAGCTTTATAATACAGGGGACAGGGTAGCTAGGTTCCTCTGCTTTTTTTTGGGTTTTTTTTTCCCCTAAGGATAGAACTGGTTCCTGCACAGAAAATGAAGAAGGAGATGCCAGTAGAGTGTAGAGGGATGGTGATGACAAAATCATGGTGATAGGAAATTGGATAGTTGTTGTCAGAATAAATTTACAGCAGGTACCGAGTGTGAATTACAGATAGACAGGAGTACAAGGATTTTTTCCAGAGCCCCAAGCAGAATCCTGTACTATCTGCCATCTATGAAGCTGTTTGACTTAATTAAATGCAGAAGTGATATATTTGGAGGCAAGAGATGTTCTCGTTCAGGTCATAAAAAGGCAATTTACTGTTTTAAGAAGAGGTATTAAGAAAGAATCACATCATTTTTACACTTGAGAAAGTTCAATATTTAAATCAGTCAAGTGTTTGCAAGCTATGAAGAATTTCAAAGGAATGGAAGAAATTACTTAAGGTTACTGGATTATAAATGTATTAAAAATGCTTACTAAACATGAAAAGTTCCTACCAGATTTATATTCTTTTCTATATTATTTGCCTTTCTGCTTCTTTTGTAATCATTGCACTCTAAGCATAGTCATTACAAAACTAGACTGAAAATAGTTTGAAAGTAAATATTATCGAGTTTCTACCTAGGTCCTTCTTAAGGATATGAGAGTAGAAAGGCTAATGAATGAAACTGGCTCAGGAAATTTCCAGCACTGATTTTTTAACAAAAATGAGAATACTTGGTGTCAAACTATTCCATCTACTTGTAATAGGTTCATAAGATTTGGGGCCTTTAGTTACTGATTTTTTGTATGAGAATTTTGAACTTTGTAGCACTGGTGGTTTATATTATGGTTTGCTAATTAGACACTTGATGCTCACATGTTGTTTTGAGAAGTTTTATTTACATAAGTGATGTCTTCCTCCTGATACTTTCCTACCAAAGCCTGTTGTCTTCTCAGCTTGATGGCAGACAGATATTCATAGCTACCAATTTTCTTCCCAATGTTTTCTGGCTGATGCTCCTATCAGATCCTCACCTGCTCTGTGACCATTCCCATAACTTGTCTCTGCTAGTTCTTCCCCGATACTGTGTTTCCTCACTCACTTTGCTAGAAAATGTCAAAGCAATTGCATGGTAAGACATGGGAATGCAACAAAGTTTTTTCAGTGCTCAAGAAAAGCCAAGGAACTCCACTGAACTGACTTAAAGATGCATTATTGGTTGGATATTTCTGTTGAATATTCAAAATTGTTACCAAGTTGGTATCAGGATTTTTCGAAGTTTGTGTTTGTATAAGAGTTCTGAGTGCTACAATTTGTATGTTGTGTCATTTGTGTGAATTACTAGTGAATTATGCAAGTCAAATATAGTGTAGCATTCACTAGGTTGAGTATTCCTCAGGCTTTGATAAAACTCCAGGCACATTTATTGTATGATTTAGGTAGCTTTTGTGTCTATCCTTAGGTAGAAACTTCTTTTTCTGGAGAACCTGACTTCATAATGAGTTTGGAAATAACAGAGCAGTTATTTTTTGTCACAGTCATATTCTATGAAAAATCTTTTGCCAGGATCTTTTCTCCTGAGAAGCTGGGAAGCTTCAGCTTCTCCATGTTTTGCTACTTTGGAATGTGATTTGGAGAATTGTTTACCCAGCATGTGAAATTGTTTTTACTTGATGACCAATGACAGCCACCTGTGTCGAGGCTGTGAGCAGCCACAAGATTTTATTATTCATTCCATTCCTTTCTTTGCTAGCCTTCTGATGAAATCTTTTTTTTTTTTTCTATTCTTTTAGTATAGTTTTAATATATCATTTTCTTTTAATATAATATATATCATAAAATAATAAATCAGCCTTCTGAAACATGGAGTCAACATTGTTGTCTCTTCCTTCGTCCTGGGGACCCCTGTGAACACCACCACAATTTTTAATAATGGTACTGACACTGTAATTTTGATGTGTGAGTACATTTTAGGGAGCTGATGCTCCAGCTCTCATGGTATCTCACTATGTGAACTTCTATCAAGTACTATCAAAGATACTCTGAGAGTCTTACCTGGCTCGCTGGGAACAGCGATGTTTACAATTAGCCTGTAGAATTGCCTTTTGACTGCTTTGCTCTCAGTACTTCTGTTTAAAGCAGTAATTAATTAGTCAATGTTAAGATAACAGTTTATATTTCAACTTTTCCTGACTGCTCTATTCTAGGCATCCTAAAGGAGGATCCTTCATCCGGCCAAACAAGGCAAATTTTGGAGTAGATTTTCTTACTGCAGTAAAGGATCGGTATGGATTGAATGATAACCAGGATGTTCAATGTGGCGCAGGGAATACCGTAGTATTTGGAACGAAGACTGTGGAATTTGTTGGCATGGATTCGGTTGCAGAACAGCAAAGGCAAGTGTTATATATGAAAATCTAAGATACATTATTAGTGATTGATCAGTCAAGGTATTTAAACTGTAAGGATTGCAATGCACATTAAATTGTGTCTAAAAGCAAGCCAGACTGCACTGTGGTGGAGACAAGAAATCCTCCAATTGTGGCTTCCTAATTTACAGGTTTTACAAATACAAACTGGGATTATGTCATGTTTAAGTGCTAACAATCCTCATTCAGGTTTCATAAAGAAGCAGATGATGATATCTGGTGAGAAATGAGCAATAAATTATCATCATGTTGGCAGTCATCATACACATGCATGGTCTTTTTAAAATAGATGTATTTTAATGTTTTCTAAATATTATACAGTGTTTTGTAGTCTTTGTTTACTCATATCACAAATTAATTTCTAACCAAGAGAGGGAAGACAGAAAGTCACTGTACTGCTAGTGAAGAAGTTTTTCAATCAGTTGATGTCATGTTTATGTACCTAGAAGGATAAGAAGTAACTTAATGATGTGTTATAAATTGCAGTTCTAATGGCCTCCAGCAGAAGAGATGTATTAGTTCAGTAGGTGGCAGTCACCTTCTGAGCTGATATTCCACAACTATTCTCCTTTTCTCCCAGAGCATACTAAGCAGTCAAAAATAATTCTGATGGGTGATACAAAGACTGCCCAAATAACTCTGAACCTCTTGAAAAACATGTTACAAGAAACCTTTTTAACTCAGAATCTCTAATTAAATTCCAATTTGCACAGCTATATTTAATCTGTTTTACCAACTCTTTATTTCAGTTGGAACTATGGTTCAACCAGACTTATTTTGTAGTAGTGATGTAAAGGCGAAAAATAGAGATGTATCTCTTTTTGAGTGCGAATGACACTGCAGTGTGGTAATCTGCACATTGCTAATTCCAAAGGAGATACACATGAAAAGGATGTTATGGAGTTGTAAAAACCAGGCATTTATGTAACATACCTATTTCTGTTTGAAGATTACCTAACAGAATGTTCTTTCTCACATAGACAACTGAACAAACTGGTGAATATCTCAGTGCGTGAGTGTGCAGTGAGCCATGCTGGTCAGGAAGAGGAAATCAGCAGAACATGTGCCAGTATCCTTTTCTTGCTGTATTGTATGATGCCACAAATAAAGTACATACTTTAGCATTCCAAGTGTTCACATCACTGAATGATGCTTGTATCCTTTTATTTAAAAAAAAGGAAAAAATTAAACCTGAAGTTTATATTTAAAAGTTTAATGTAGTGTTAAAAAGTTAAACAGCCAGGCGCCTACAATTTTTAAGAGGAAATGCAAATTGTGCATAAAAATAGAAGTGTAGTCATAGGTTGTTATTGTGACTGCAGTTTCAGAAGGCTCCAGCAATAGTTTTTTTAAAAATTCCCTAGAATAGATAACCATATAGAAGTAGAACTGATATGTTCTGTAGACACCAGAGGTTTCCAATATATAGCAAATAATGTGTTTAGTACACTGCATGCGGTGGCAGTGTTACAAAACTACAAAGCAGTTTTTATTTGTTAATTTTTAAGGACTTATAAGAGTTCCTGTCAGTATAGAAATTAATCCATTTGAGGATTTGTGTGGTTAAGCTCTTCTATAAAACTATAAGCCATTTCCCTATCAGAAATCAAAATAGAATTTTCTCTAACTGAGCAGTACCATCCCTTAGTGTAATCTATTTCTCTTTGATTCAAAATGAAACCCTAATTCTAATTCTGAAAAAAGGAAGTTCAGTTTTGAGATAAGTTTATTTTTCTTAACAAGAAATTTCAGATATGAGGCATATAAACCTATCAAAAAATCTGATATCATCTTGGGAGACAGTAGTAGCTATTGCTTCTCAAGTTCAAAATCTGGAAACACTTAATGTCAGGTATAAATATTCATATTTGGGTTTCTCTTCCTTTGGGGTAGGAACAAAAACCAAGAGGCTCAGGATTCAGCTTTCTAAATGTAACTGGATACAACAAGACTCATTCTAATGGGAGCTAAGGTTTTTTTTTTGGTTTTTTTAAATCTTGTTTTTAAGCAACTGCTGAAGTTGTGGGCTGTAGTGTGGACTATATTTTTCTGACATCTGTATTCAAGAAGAACCCTAGGAGTTCAGCTTCTGTGTAAAACTAAGTTTTGGAGAACATTTTCTTCAAAGTTTTAAGATTTGATCTTTGGGTTTTTTTTATTCTTGATACATTCTGGCTGCTCAGGCAGGTCTGCATTTAAGAACCCACTTTTGTTTAGCCAACCATGTCTTGACACTAAACTTAATTATCCATAATGCTTTGACTAAACCTTAATTATCCGAAACCTTTGTCTATTTCTGTCCTAAAATGATGCTGATAAGAAACTGTTGAGACCATGGTGACAGATCTAGGGGAAAATTTCCTGTACAATGATGACATTGGAAAAGGAAGGAGGATGTTGTTAAATAAAGCTCCAATTGTATTGAAACAAGAAAATTCTTAAAATAATTCCAAAATAAAGAACATTTCTAGTACACACCTATACACTGTAATTGGCACATGCCGCAATAATTTTCTGGTGTGAAGTAACACAATGGATTAAGTAGCCTAAATCACCAGATTTTTATATTTATTCTTATCGTTATTGTGACAAAAATGTATTGTTAAAGTAGTTATAGGTGTTCTATTTTCTTCAATATTTAGCAATGAACAGCTGTTTGCAACCTGGGTGCTATTTGTAAATCTATCTTTGCCTGGAGCATATAATGATTTATTGTTATCAGCATGCATCAGAATACAGAGAAATTTATTTTAATTCACCTGGAATAATTTTTTTCAGTTTTTCATTGTTGAGAAGCGTACTCCAGACTGAAGGGTCTTCAGAAGTTTTTTGTAAAAAAATGGAAAACAAAATGAGATTGATGCTGGAATCTGATGCTTACAACTACAAACTGATATAGTCTGAATCAGTTTTGTATTGTTTTGACCTTCTGTTTGCTTTAAAAAAGAAAGAAGGTAAATCAGTTACTGATTTTTTTGTGCATGGAATGTTGGAAGAAGAATAAAAGTGATTAACCATCCACCTGCTTTTATGTGGAAATTTTACCCATAAGTGTGTAACTATAAACTACATTGAGCAGTTTTTATGAGAATATGCAGGTAGATTATGCCTTAGGAAAGCAATAAAAACTTCTCTTTCAGGGTGAATAATGAAAACTGATTTGAAGACTGCAGATTTGAGGATCTTTATCTTTTCTTCTTTGTAGTGATACTTGCCTATTGAGAGGGGATTTTACATACTTTTGTTTTGCTGGGGTCTGGATAGTCTTGTGGGCTCTTCATTTTCAGTCAACACTAAGGAATTTAAGCCCAAGCTCTGGCTTTGTTTCATTTAATATTAATGAAAATCATTCTTTTCATGTTGAAAACTTAGTGGCAGAGGCCACAGAGGAATAAATATGCATTCTTGAATAAATATGCATTCTGGAAGCAGGAAAATAAATTAGGAAAGAGTATGTTTGACTATAACTAGAAATATATTTTATTATATTTTAAAATATGTGACATCTTGGCAGTGATTTTAATTTTTGGAGTGTGTAAATTTCTTTTTCTTTAATGTGTAGCTCCAAACTAATGACTTAAATAAAGATGATTATTCATTATGCTTTTTTTTTTTAATGCAGTGAAAACAAAATGAAATTTCCATCTACATCAACTTTTACATCCAGTGCATTTTCAAACTTGAAGATTCTGGCCCTTAATCAAACTGAAATAACATGGACAGAGGTAATAGCCTTTCCTGATTTTTTTAAAATTTAATATCATTAGGTTTCTGAGGCAAGGGAAACACAATAAATATTTGTGCATTGTATTGTTCTACTGAAATCAAATCATCCTTAGAAAAGTGCTGTGGGGTAACTGTGTTGGTTACATGTTGACTAATGTACTTCCTACATAATGAAGGAAGTAATATTGGCATAGGAGTCTAATAAGAAACATTTTACTTCATCTACATCTGTAAATTGCCAAATCAAAAGAAAACAGTTGGAGTACAATATAGCTTTGTGTCCCAAAGTTTTTTTTAAGTGAAAACCTTTTGGTTTGTGGTAGCTGTTGATAATTTACGTGTACTTGTCTGCATGCAATAGAACAAATGCAAAGAGAAAGAAAATTCCTTAAGATGAGAAAAACTTTGTTTCGGCCTCACTTTGCATCAGCAGGAGACTGATTGGTATCTTTGCCCATACTGATGGGTCTTGAACCACGTGATGCCTGGTTATTGGCAGCAGAGAGCAGAGGATAAACAAAGCTCTGACTTGTTTAAGGCACTGAAACATGTGCACACTTAAATGACTCTCTCCTGGTGTGGTGGCTTATTAGGAATGAAGTCCTGTTGTCAACTATAGTTAGCAGTGGGCCTTTTTTCAGAGATGGGGCTTAGGACGTGCATCTCAGTGTCCTGGTACTTAGAATAGCTTCTAAATTCCAAACTGTTATTTGGATTTCTCAGGGTCAGATTTTGTAGTACTGCATTGTAAAGTTACATGACTTTTCAGATTTCAGCTGCTAGCTGCTATCCAGTAAAAGAGCATTTAACAAAACTGGGGCTTGAATAGAAAGAAGCTTCTTCATTCTCTTGTCTTGCAGCAGGACTAGAGGAAGGTCACTGCTGTGTTTTTGTTTACTGTCCATTCACTGTACTCTTAAGATTGCTTGTGGGATTTATGGCAGGAGAGTCCATAATCCTTCCATAGTAGCAGCAACATGAATGGTGAAGGGAATGGAAGAATTAAGTGGCTGCAAACACTTTAAATGTCACCTAGTGCTCATGAGAGTAAATCTGTTCATTGTGGTGTTTAAAATGTTGGTACCTGCCAGCAGCTGTCCTTCATCCCTCCATGGGGTGACTGAAAGGCTGGTTGGAGCCATGGCTGCAGATCAGAGTTCTCCAGGGCTAACTCAATTGCAGTGAGAAAGCCCCAGCTTAGCCAGAGCAATTTAAAATTATGCAGCTTTTGGGTTTTTCTTTTTTTGAAAATCTATTTTAGTTGATGATTCATCATTGACCATAAAGACATCTTTGGTTCCAAAATCTGTTTTATAAATTTGTTCCAGTTCATTCCCTGTAAGTTAGGAGACATAAGCCTGTGCTTGAAAGTGGTGTTCCAGGGCAGTCAAACAAAAGGGGAAAAATAAAGGCATGTGCCTGACATCAGTACTCTCTGAATAAATTACTTGAAAATGTCACTGCTTAAGCTCTGAGGGGAGTTACTTGAAAATTCAACTTTCAAATAGAAAATAGTCATGAACATAATCCAAGCAAATGAGAAATAAATTTAAATCGTTGATGGCAATATAAGCAAAAGTCTTAGGAGTGTTTTAATTTTAATTAAAACAATTTACGGTGAACAGCATTTCAAGATTACTTGTTGTTATATGTAAGAATATATGGCATTGAGATAGTTATAATTGGATTTTTTTAGTTTGTTCCTCTGTTTTGAAGTATTTTTCACAGGAGAGGGACATGCTTAACAGTTATGCAGTAATGCATAGCTCCACATTCACATGCCTTGAGCATCTGTTTTCAGAAAGAATTCTTTCATTAGTATATGATTTGCATATATCTAAATACTTCTGAGATTATTAGTATATCAGTAAAAGAGCTTATTACTGTAGAATTGTTGATTGATTGTTCAAAACATAACATATAACTTTCAAGGGGGGAAAAATGTCCTGTAAAATGACTTAAAGTTAGCAGCCATTGACTTAGAAATTGAATTAATGCATTTGAGTGTAATGAATTTGTATTTATGGCTCCAAACCCTTTCTTTCTTATTCAGCTTTTAAATCATAATGTTATATTTGTGAATCTGTTTTCAAACTAAGATTTTGTATTTATAATATAATCTACTATTATACAGGGTAAAAGAAAAATCTGGGTTAGAACAGAAGTGCAGGATCATGCTTCTGACACTAGCAAGTAGCAGCAGGTAGTTGGGAAAAATTCTAGGCAAAGGGTAAGCACATGGTAAGAGCTTCTTAGAAAGTAATCTGGAATTGTGTGGCTTTGTGAGCTCAAGACTATATACCTCTAATTAATATTTGTGAATATTTTTGTTTCATGATTTATCTAACTGTATTAAGGACCCATTTGAAAATTCTGCTGTGCATAGCATTTAGCATAAATTCAACCTTTTTTGGGTTCTGATATTGCTGCCTGGTAATTTCATTTAGGAAGTCCCAATGGTTTATATGAAAGTAACTGAGAACAGCTATTCTCCATTTCATGGTTTTAATTCCTGTTTAACTTCTTTGTGCCTTTCCCAATCATATTATTTGCTTCCTGGGATAAACAGACTGAAGATACAGGAACATTATGAACTTACATGGTGACAATTGTTTCTTGTTCTCATTTTTATTTCTTTTGCAATGGCTCTTGCATTTCCATTCTTCTGGTTTGAGAGCATCAGTGGCTCTCTTCTGGGTATTTGTTACCTCCCCATCAGCTTTCCACAATTAGGCCCCAGTCTTTCCTGAAGGTTAATTCACAGTGTCAGATCTGTGAACTTTTGTTTCTGAGGAAGCTATTTTAAGCAGTAGCTGGAAATTTGGCAATTTGAGTTTTTTGGAATTGTGCTGTGACCTATAATTTAGCAATTTTCTAGTCATATTGAAAAATCTTCAGATATTTCAGGTTTGTGCAGATATTTCAGGTTTGTGCAGTTTTTTTATTCCATCCATCCCAATGCTGGGCTGTTGTGGGGCAATCTCTGTTACTGAACATGCACCTCATTTCTCTTGACTCTGCAGGTTTCTTGTCATGCTTCTTCATCATCAGTGGATACCTATTTTGGTCTATCTTGTTGATATGGGGGAACACTATCAGATTAAAGAGATGAAATATCTGTTCCCTGCTCTTGCTTTGGAACAGGAAAAGTTGTTATATCTGTGTTTGTGTGTTACAGATATGACAGGAAGTTGTTTTTTTCATATTTTTGGGGGTGAAACAGTTGAGCTCCAAATCATAGGCTGCCTCTGGAGGAGATCTCAGTGTTTACCCTTGTCATGGTGCCTCTTATGAGTTAGTTATATGGATCTGCAGCTGGATGGATTCATGCTGTGTAAAGTTAAATAAAAGTGTGTAAAGTAAAATAATATCTTTTATGCAATTTCAGGGCATAAGATCTAAAACAAAAGTATCTTTGTTCATTTTGTAGACTTTTTTGAATGAATTTATTTTCTTTAGAGAACTTGAAAACTTCAGGATGTGTTGAATTCATGCAATTCTTGGCTTCTAGTGAGTTATAGGCTGGCACAGTCCCAAGACAGAAAAGGCTTCAAGCTCTGAAAAATTAACATATTAAAATATACTATCAGATGTGTTATGTGTATTAGCTATACACATAGTTTCTGGAACTTCTGCACATGTATAGAGTTTGTACAGCCAATTCCTCACCTCATCATAGGGAATACCTGGTCACTCCAACTCACTGAATGAATTCACTCAGTTTCCAGGTCACTCAGTTTCCAGTCTCAGCTGTGAGGGTGGCCACAAGCCTGGGACTTAGAGTCCTGTGACTGCAGAACCCCTTTGATGTCATCTGTGCTGGCAGATCCAGACACAGGAGAGCCATCTGGAAGAAAGGGAAGACTAGGAAATCTTTAATAATTGTTCTTCTGGTTTGGGGAGCCATAGCTTGTTCTGAACACATTCAGAGCAAATTTGCATGAAATATAATTTCTGAAATATTCCCATCTTTTGTAATATTAAATAAAGTTTTGCTCTTAGGTTCTTCTTTGTGCTCAAGGATGGCCAGTACTTGAAGAGTTGTACCTTTCTTCTAATAATATTACAGTTTTGGAACGGTGAGTAACATGAGTCAGTCAGTTGTTAGCCACTGGTGTACCACAAAGTTACACAGCACATAAAGTTACATTCCTGTAGCATTTACATCACCAAAACAATAATTTATGCAAATTTCACATGATGTATTTCAGAACATTTATAAATGTGCACAATTGTGTGCATGCAATTATATACCTAGGAAAATAGTGTTTTCATTGGCCAATAACTTTAAATACTCTGGTTTTGTGTTTGTTTTTTTCCAATATATCAGGCCTGATAATGTCCTGCAGACCCTGAAGTTGTTAGACCTTTCAGATAACCAGCTACTGGATGGAAATCAGCTGCATCTCATAGCACAGCTCCCCAGGTAGCTGTAAACAAATTTGCTGGAAATTCTTTGTCCTAGATATTCATCTCCATAGTCCTTGTTGGCTGAAATATGATAGTATTGATGTTGCATGAAAGATTCATGAGATCTTGAAATAAAGGCATTTTGCCCTCTTGAGGATAGTAACTGCATTATTTTGTTGAGCTATTTTAATATAATCTTGCTTTTGTTGTATAATAACACATTCTTCAGCTGTGTGTTATTAGGTTTTCATTATACATCTATGAAATGAAAGTGATTTACCACACTTTGCTAATTTGCAGAATTATCATCTTACCCTGTACACCAAAACAGCAGCCATGATTTTCAACAGCCACAAGCTATTTAAAAAAAAATCATTTAGAAAATGACACATTTTAAATCCAGGAGCCATTCTGAAAGTTTGAAATTGTTGCACTTACTCACTGAAAATTTTATTCCCTGGACACAGCTGAAGTCTAGGTACTGCCTGTGAGGCTGCTTTTCATTTGTCAGTGATGCTGCACCACATCAAAAGCTGCAGATCTTTATTAAGAAAAGAAATAAAAAATCAGGTTGTATCTCTTTGCAAATAACTTCCTGTGCCACATACAGTGATCATTGTGTCTATTAAATTTCAGATTAGAACAGCTAATACTTAGAAACACTGGGATATCTTCTATACACTTTCCTGATGCTGGATTTGGTATGTAAAAGAAGTAATTTATTTATAGTTTTAAAATTCTGTTTATTTAAAGTTTTCACTGTTTTCCTGTTACTCTTTTCCTAGGATGCAAAACTAAAATGTTTCCTTCGCTAAAACGCCTTGCAATAAATGACAATAAAATATCACAGGTAGGTTAGATTATGATGGTTTCACATTTTGTAAATAAATGCATTTTTGTTTAAGAGTAACTTTAAGTTTGCTTTTTAAAATTTTATTTTATGTGTAAGATTCTGAGGTAACTCTTCAACACTTTGGTCAATACAGAGGCATAGTTTAAGAATGTAAAAATATTTCTTAACGTTAAAAAACATGTTTATGTTATGGCAGCTACCTTATAATTTCTCTCAAAGAATTCTAATGATCTACAGTTCGAATTTCTTGTTTTGGTTTGTTTTTTAATTAAATGGAGTGCAGTTCTTTCCTTAGCTACTCGGACAGGATCCAAGTACTTGGTTCAGATGATCAAAAGAATTTTTCCAGTCACGTTTGTTGTTCAGGAAAAGTCAGTGTTACCAGGTATTGTTCTGAAATGAAGTTTTGTATTTCCTCAAAAGACTCTTCCCTTCCATTTCAGTGGTCATCTATCAATGAGCTTGATAAACTGCCAAGTTTGCGGGCACTGCAGTGTAACAATAACCCCTTCGTGGACACAGAGAAGAACCCAGAGACCCTGAAACAGCTCATTATTGCCAAGATAAGCCAGTTGGAGGTTTTGAACAACTGTGAGGTGTGTGATACTTCAACAAATTGCATGAGTCTGGCAAAAACTTTAAATCACTGCCTGAGGAATTGTTTTCAGTTTCTTTTAAGATTATTGATTGTTTGGGTGCAGGAAAATTAAAGTGCCAACTAATCCATCCCCTTGTCAGTGGGGCAGTACTAGACTGAGCCTTCTTTGTGAGTATTGCTAACTCAGTGGGGACTTGGACTAGATAGGTCAATGGTGGTTTTTTATCAGTGCCTGAATTGTGTTGAAGTTGCAGGACTGTTAACAAAAACCATACTCTTAAAAGAAAGAAAAAATAGAAAAAGCAGCATAGTCCGATCTGTTTCAGTGACAGCAATACCAACATTTGCCTTCTGCAATAGAGAAATATCATAATCCACACCAAATCAAACTTTCAGGAAATGTTTATCATAAAGGAGAGCAGAAGCAGCATCTGACCCATTGCTACACAAGGCATCCTTGCATCACCATATACAGCAAAATCTTTGCTTAGGTATTAATTTATGGTTCAGTGAGTACACAGAGGGGCTTAATGGCTCTAAAAGATACTGAATATATGGATCACTCAATATTTGGAGACATGGTTTGTAAGATTCTTGGGAGCATTGAAACATACTGAACATCAAGTAAGACCAGGGAGTCTGTGGCACTGATTAGATTTTGTTCTCTGGAAAGTTATATAATTATATTATAAGTTATATAATTATATTATGTGCCATTCCTGTGTCAGTACAGATCCTTCCTGCTGAAAGAAGAGGAGCAGAGCTTGATTATCGCAAAATATTTGGAAAGGACTGGCTAGAAGCTGGTGGGCATTGGAACCCAGAGAAAAACAAACCAAGTGAAGAATTTCTTGCTGCCCATCCTAGATATCCAGCACTTTGTCTTAGTAAGTACAAGCAGAGTACAATAGCATTTCCTCACCTCTGGCATTGTGGCAGCACTGGTTTGGTCTGTTTTCAATTTCTCTTCCCCTTGGGTGTTTTTCCCATGTGCTGCTACAGCCTTAGGAAAGCCCATGCATTGGCAAGCCTGTGTGCCAGTGGGCTTCTGCACAGAACTGCATCCTTTGGGGCATTGATGCCTCAGGAACTCTGGCTCCTGGCCTCAGAGACCCGAGAACGTGTGTCCATCCATCCATCCATCTGTCCGTCCGTCCATCCATCCATCTGTTCTCCCACACCCCTGTCCTGGATGCTGCAGCAGCTGGACAAGGCTCATGTCTGCAGCACTGTGTGGTGCAGGGGCCACCATGGCTGTGCCGAGGGAACTCCTGCCTGATCCTGCACCACAGTGGTCCTAGGTCTTCAGTTTTAGTCTTTGAAGGGTTCTACTACTTTTCTATTTTTTTTACTTCTTCTATTTTTCTTCCAACAGAATATGGAGCACCTGAAGAAGGAGAACTGAAGGGACAACAGCCTTTGACTCTGAAAAATCAGCTCCTGAGTAAGAGGCCAGAAATGGTCAAAATTGTTCCTTCTGCATTTAGAATATTTTGTGAGCTTAGTGTCTCCTAGGTGTAGATGGAGAACAAAAAGTTCCAGCTTGTAATTTTGATTTTCTGAACTGTCTCAGTGAGTTTGACTGGAAAGCTGATTCTGTGTACTCTCATTTTCCCCCTCAACCCAAGCCAAATGATTTTCTCAACTGAGATTTAATGGAGAACAAAGGTTATTGATACTCCATTCTGACAGTGTGAATGGCTTCTTTACAGAAGACATCTCAGGCTTTAATCTCAGCTGCTCTGTTTTGTATTTTACCTTTTTTATAACTTCTTTAGGACAGCCAAGAAAAACATGGGTAGCTTTGGTATTTGGGGCTGTCTACATATTTAATCTAGGTTACATCCTCGACTTGCAAATTCATGTAGCTGTGTTTCCCAGCTGATAGAATAACTGAAAATTTTTACTTCATGGGCAAAATAGTATTTTAAGGCATTACATTCTAATGCATTTAAGTGGAAGACTAAATAGAACAAGGAGTCTTATTGGCTAGACATAAAATAAACCTTTGTTTAAGAATAAGTCTTTTAATCTCTGTAAAATAATTAGGCTAATTATGTCCTTTGAAAGTCTTTGTATGGTGCTTTTGAGAGGAACAAAAGCCTGTTTTAAACTGAATAAGCAATTTCCATTCTACTGCAGGTTATTTTTTTAAAAATTAAATAGAAATTAAGCATTTTTAAGTACTCATTTTGACCAAAAAATCTTTACTCTTTAAGCATTTAGGGAGTCACCTCTACAATAATTTACCAAAGATGAATAAAACTTGGTTATTTTCATTAATTAATTTTTCAGATAATGACTAAATGTTATCTTAATTGCTGAGATGCAGGCTACCTCCTAATTTTTGAGAGACCAGGCTGAGCTAAGGGAAACAATTTGTAATAAAAAGAGACAGAAAGACTATGCTTCTGCCAGAACAGGGCTTATTGTTCTTTCACTAATGCCTCACCCTTCTTCTTTAAGCGCTCACAATTAAGTGTCCTGAGAAACCTGAACAGAAGCCAGTGGAGAAAAAACTACCAGGTAAGAAGTCTTGGCTTATGTTCAAGTAGTTGTTTCATTGCTCCTTTTCAAACAACTGTATTAAATAATGGCAGCTGCCTCTGGCTTTGTCAGCTCCTGAAAGCTTTTCCTCTGTCATATAAGGAAATGAAAAAGACAGAAATTATTTGAAAAGTCATAATTCTTCTGGCCTTCATACTTACTTTCAGTCCAGTTCAAAGATGTAAAGGTGATGCTTTGTTGTAAAGTTGATGCTCTGCTGCTGGTGTCATGTTTAATAGTCTGAGGCAATTAAAGGTCTATTAACAGGGATGAAATCTGGTGGATGTGTTAACCAAGTAACCAGAACATGAAGTCCTAAGAGGCAACCACAGTGTGTAAATCTAGATATTGAGGTCTAGTATCTAATCCATGAAGTTAGAAGTCTAGTTCTGACCTCCATCAAATTCATGCTTTGAAGTTTTAGTGTCTGTGGTTATACTAGAATGAATAAGACCATTCTAAATTAAGTTGATGTTTTGGAAAGATGTGTCAGAATGAAGTCTGAGAGAAAAGAAGAATTCAAGCTTTATTCTAAAATAAAAATCACATTTATTATCACAACTTGCATAAAATCAGATAGATACAGCTTTTACAAAAATGTTTGATAGAAAAATATTTGTCTAAGTACAATGTGTGGTATTACAGGAGTAACTCGCTATTGCTGTGCCTTTAGATAAAGCTTCAAAAGAAGTGAAAGTTCAACCAAAATACTGAGTTTATCTATTGCAAACACAGGTATCACCTCTGGAACAAACTACATCTACTCATTCAAGATCCATTACAAAAAAATGCCCCTTCCTATAACTGACTTCATAATATAAACAACTCTGCTGACAATGTGTTTGGAACTAATAAGTCAATACCATTCCTAAGAATGTCACTAGTTCCACCGTGCCATTTCCTTACTTGTGCTGGGAAAGCCAATTCCTGGTAATGAAAACTGCAAGGAACAGTTGCCAGATGCAAGTAGTCAGAACCTGGCTAGTGTGTGTCCCAAAGGTCACTTAGTTTAGCATGTAGAAATATAAACTCAAAAAAGGTAAATTATGAAGCTGTAACACTTTAACTTGATGTATAGGATCAAAGCACTTACTCTGTAGCAGCACATCCTGCCCTATCCACCACAGGTGAAACCATTTTCCACTTTACAGCAGCAGATATGGTTTCAGGTACCTTAGACATTATTGCAGTGTTAGACCTGAAGCAGCAATACAGCCTTTCACTGTTGCTATAAGCAAGTAAAGTGAAACACTGGTACTTTGCTACAGCTCAGTGGCAGCAGCATTTTTCCAATAACTTTTCTTTCTCTCCCCTCAACAGAGTCTATGACGATTCAGAAGGTCAAAGGACTGCTGTATCGCCTGTTTAAAATTCCTGGTTCAGACCTGAAACTGTCCTACAAAAGTTCTAAAGTGAGTTAAAAACAGATATTGAAAAACAAAATATTTCATGCTGCTAAAGGTCCATAGCATGTTCTAAAATACTATATAAAGACATTAATTTCACTTGAGGAGAGCTGTCTTCATGCTGTCATTTAGGACCTAATTTCATTCTTGTAATAGGACAGATTCTCCCTGACTGCAACTGCCTGCTATTTGGTTTACATGAAGGGATTTCAGTGTAAGTCTGATTAGGTTTTTTTTTTTGCTTTCTCATTCTAGCTGGAAGGAAAAGAAGTTGAACTAGACAATGACTTAAAGCCTTTGCAGTTTTACTCAATAGAAAGTGGAGACTGTGTGTTAGTACGGTGGTAAAGAAGGGACTCTCTTTCTGGACTGAAGGAAAAGCTGACACAAAAACTGCAGAAGAGAGACAGACACATGGACAGGCTGTGCCTAAACAGACATACAGGTGAATATGAGTTTCACACACGTGGAATCAAAGGGCTGTACAATTGTACTTTCAACTCCTCAACTTGATCATCAGCCTCCATGAAAACATCTGCTCATTTGTCCTACTGGAGAGATACCAAACAGTGCTTAAATGCTTCAATTAAATAAAACAAGGTCATCCTTTTGCCAAAATTTTATACTGCCTTCCCCCAGCAGCAGTGAGAATTTGTTTTACTGAACCGAGTACAGGGTTGAGTTGTGATCTCTCTGCTATCAAGACAAGATCAGTGCTGCACTGAGAGGCCACTTCCTCTTTGTTTTCACCTACATCCAACAACTTTATAGTGAACAAAATCCAGTAGTAATTTTAGAAGTATCTACCTTAGATGATTAAGGTCAAAATCTGCCAGACCTTTCTTCTACCCTACAGTGTTAACATACCACATTATAAATAAGTTCTCAGTACACTGCAAGGCATTGCTATTTATTTTACAATCTTTAGTGTGCTGTTCCTCAAGCTTATTTTACTTTCACTTGTGTAACCTCAGATTCATATCTAGTCAGAATGAGCTCTCAGAAATCCCTCCTAAATCAGGCCAAGTTTGCAGTACTTGAAGATTTGGTATAAGCAAACCTTGATTTTATTTTTATCTAAAATGATAATGATATAAACAAACTAATCACAAATCCTAGCCCGCATTGCTGTCCCTGTCCCTGCACAGATGAGGGCAGCCCCTCAGACAGCACAGAATGTGCTGCAGCAAGACTTACCAGCTGCCCTGGTGCTGAGCACAACTCTCACAGGAGCCTGGAACAGCCCCATACTGAATCAAATCAGTAGTGCTTCAATTTACAAAAGACAGGCTAGTTGGCATTCTTATGTGCATTTATTAATTACAAGTAGGTCTTTGACTTTATCTAAAAAGGATTTTTTTTTTTAATCTTGAACATTTTGGTTTTTGTCTGATCAACATCTATACTATAGAAAATGAATAGTATCAGTCCACTTGAAATTATCAAAAGGGATGTGCAAATATTGTTATACTTCAGTTGAAACCCAGCATTAAAAGGTACCTTAGTATTTCTTATTGTTCCAGGAATGAATCCAAATGTACACTTTTCCATGATCATTATACACTACCCTGTTTTCCAAGGCAAGTCCATCATCTTTCCTCACATCTACATGGATCTCCACACAGTTCCTTTAATCTCCAGAGCTCTTCCAGCTCCTGGGGCGAGTACTGGGGGGAAGACAGCATGCCACTCTCACATGTCTTCTCACACAACCAGAGACCATCCTGTTAAGAGAGAGAGAGAAACATTTCAATAGCTTTTCTTATAAAGTATGTAGTCTCCAACAATCTTCACTTCCAAGAATCAGGTGTTTATTGTTTCTAGCAACAAACATTGCACACAAGGATCCCAAACTCATCTTCTAGACCTATTCAGAGAACTTGGGGGTAGGGATGGAGTCTGCAGGTGGTTTTTGGCAGTTTTGTGATTTTTCTTTTAAATACATCTTTAAAATACTTTTTTCCCTCTGGATTTTAATTCAATGGTTATTTCAATTCCTTTTTAAAGAAAAAAACCACCATTTCTCCTGTTTTATGCTACTTGGAACAGCAGCCATCTCCTCTTTCTGTAAGGTCAGACACTTCCTTCAGACTTACTTGATATCGCTTGGGTCCTACAGCTGCCATCCAGATGCCCATGCTCACATCTTCACCCTGCGATGAAAATAAAAAATACAGATATGAGCACCAAGAAAGCATAAAGCATGACTGTGACCTGGAATGAGTTGCATCATCTACCAGCAGTAAAGAATGGTAACTACAAAAACCTACGCCAGACTACTGCAGAGGTGTTGAAATAATCCTTCCACCTTTCCCATAACAATACACTGTTCTTACAAGAACAGTACAAAAAACAAGATTACAGCTCCAGAGGTTTTCAGTCCCAAACATCTGTGCTTTGACTTAGAACAGGCACTAAACCTAGCAACGAAAAGCATGGCAAAAGCCCACATGAGCCAGGAGAACCCAACACTAACACTTAAGCAATGTTCTTTCTGACTCATCCAGTACATGCTGTTCCTCGGACCACTTCAACACAGAAAAACTGAACTAATCTTTATTACCTGGTACGTTTTTAATCTTTCAGAGTTGCTTGCCAGCCAATGCACAATGTCTTTGGAGATGACATAGCCAGACCCACAAGCAAAGGCTGGATATGCAGGACTTGGATACTCCAGTTCTTGCCATTTCCCAGTTCGATCAACTGCCCAATTTAGTCTGAAACTGAAGACATGTTAGACATGAGATGTTTATGGAGAGTCCTCTGTGGAACCTATGAACACTGATAACTGAAGTAATACTGATAAACAACTGAGAGAAAGAAGTAGGTGATCCTAATTATAGCTCCTAGTCTTATTTCTCTAGGGCACAAAGCTGAAATTGTAACTGTTGTTTGGTCTCAATCTTGGATAATAAGAGAAAGTTTTCAAAACAGAAACCAAAGCAACATTGACAGTCACATCCTCAGCATCTATGCCTTGCTGTTGGGTTTTGAACTAGGTAAGCACACACATCCTTACCTATTTTGTAACAGGCACATCTGTCTCCTGCTAATTAACCCCTCTGGTGAATCAACATGACACAAAGGCAGTGCCTCCAGCAGGCATGCAGACAGTGATGTTATGCAACCCATTTTCCTGTTAAAGCTAGTGGCTGCTTAAAAATCAGGAAGCAGTACTACCTTCTCTAAGCTGTTTTCCAAATGAAGCTCAACAAAGGAGATGTTCAAAGGCTGCCATCACTGAATTACAAAAGAACTCTTCCTGGCAGTGGTGTTCTCTAAGGAAGGCTTTATTCACTCCAGAGGCCTGCAGGAAGCAGTCTCTGTCTGCAGAGTCTCCCCAGACGCTCCCAGCGTGGCAGAGCTCACTGCGGCGCTGTGCAGCGCTATGGACCCTGCCAAACTGCCAAGTGAAAAGCATCCTGCTTTCCTGTTTGGGAACAAGCTGCTATTGCACTCCTCTGGCCTCACAAGTACTTCATGCAGCCACAGCTAAGAGACATAACTGTGTCAATGCAGCAGGGTCTCCCCCTGTTTCACAAAGAGGTTCAGCATTGCTGATTTCCAGTCACAAGCACAAACAGCTGAAAGCTTCAGTGAGCTACTAAGAACTGTCACCTCAGACAACAGCCCCAAAAGGGAGGAATTACAGCTGAGTGGCAGGTATGTTATCAGATTCTGCCCATTCTCAACTGAAGCTGACATATTAAAGCACAAAGTAAATGAAAGTCTCATCTGATACCTGAATTCACTTTAGGCACAGTACCTTCCACTCCACTGAATCACAGCACGAAGGGTTCAGACTGAGAAGCATCTGCTTTGATAATCATTTTATACTTCCATAGTTATTTCAGTGTTGCTCCCTACATATCACACGTGCCTGACCTGAAGACTGTGACTATTAAAGAATTTACACTGAAAGATGTCACTCCTACAGATCTTTGAGATAATCACAAGATAACCAACTATTTCACACACTTGACCACACACCTTATTAAATTGCTTTATAAGCAACAGGCAGGATCAGATTTGTGAAGCAAAGCAGCAAAGGCCTGTTTTTCTTCAATGAGCAGAGGGCAACAGGAAGGCACATTGTACCATTATGCTATATTGAATGCTGTAGTAGCATAGAGGTCCTGGTATATTGGATTTCATACCAGAGCTGCAATGCATTCCATGGATGGAAGGGAAGATAGTGACATTACAAAAAGTAGGATGGAAGGGAAGATAGTGACATTACAAAAAGTAGTATTTATAGTTCTGTACTATGTACTTTTAACTTCGCTATATTGCTGGAAAATTCTTATTTACTTAAGTACCGTGACAAAGATGTCTACACATTTTAAAACCAGGCAAGATATTCAGCAAGTTTAAATCACTGTAAAGGCATACTCTGGAAAGTTACTGTAAAGGACTGATTTCTGATTCTGAGATTCAAAGTTTAACACATACAGAAGTCCTGCTTTTTACATGTTGGCTTCTTTAGGCATAGGAGGGGAACCCACATGAAAACAGACTTAAATCCCTAAACCATTCATAAAGAAATGGTAACTATCTCTTAAAGGTAATTTTAAAAAACAACTTACTTTCCCCACCAAATGTTTGGCCTGTCCAATTTTTTCTGCATTATCCTGTTAAAAACACCTTCCAAATCAATGTAACAGTCATCATCCGTCTTCAGCAACAAGTCAAAACTCGTTGATTCCACTGTCCTGTAGCCAAAAAGGAAAGTGATGAGATGCTGAGCTGCACACCACAAACTCCAGACAGCATGCTCTGCAAGGGGTTTTTGGGATGTAGGGGGGAGCAAGAGGGAAGGAACATCTTTTCTACCCTTGACTTTTAAATGTTTTCTCTATCAACCAAAGCTGACTGCTTGTCCTTCAAAGGAGATGCAGCTGTGTCCTATGATGATCCTACAACATGGACTTGTGTATGAGCGGAAGAAAACAAATTTGAAGTTTTGTTCTCCAGGACAGATGGTGGATTTACTAATGAAACCATCTTAAGCAGTATTGACCTCAGAAGGACATGAATCCCTGATGCTGATGGTAGCACAGATGTTAAAAGCCACTGGCTACATGTCAGTAGCCTACTTTCAGGATGAGACAGTCAGTTCAAGGGCAATGAGAAGGTTGTAGGTGGTAAAAAACATCTGTGGAAACAACTCTGTCTGTACTCTTTCTCTGTAAATGCACCCTTCAAACATGAAAATGTTGTCTTTACCTGTCTGAAATAGTTGAACATGACACACATAAAATAACCAAAACAACTTAAGATTCTAGGGATCATGGCTAGGTTGCTTACAAACATTTGTAAGGGTAACTTCTTACAACAAGAAGGGTATTTTTAAAAGCCTTTTATTACTAAATCTTGAAAAATTGCTAATCTGTAAGAAATTATCACAAAGATCTAAGTCTTGACATGCAAACCTCCTTTTAGAACTGAAAGCATGGTTCAGTTTTTCAGTTACATTCATAGCCATGGACTTTGTGACATAAATGCATAATCTTGCAAGCAACTAAAGTGAATTTTGGATAAAGTACAACTGTCAACTGTATTTCTTACTCCACAGCAGCATCAATTAACTGAAACAGTTATCTCAGAGTAATGGAAATCATTGCAAATTTAGAGGTAGAAACTTACTGGATTAACACAGACAATGCACTTCACTATGAAAACTCCTCCTATCAGCCTTCTATCCCTGCTGTACACATGCTCCCAATCCTTCCCCTCCACTCAGCACTGGTGTGGCCACATCTGGACTATATGTGCAGTCTTAGACTCCTCAGTACAAGAGGGACATGGCCATACTGGGCAGAGAGTCCAGCAAAGGCCCATCAAGATGATTATGGGACTGGAGCAACAGCCACAAACTGAAACACTGAATAAGTACACAAACTGGCCAAAAGCCATCCTTTACAATATTAAAACTGCTAGTTTTCAGATAGATACAAATGAAAAGAAATTACAAAGAGAAATGAAAATTTTTACACCTGGACTCTTAGAGCAGAAGCCTGTCTTGCCAGCTTGTGCAGATTTGAGGCACCAAGGGTCAGCATTCAAAAACTATGGGCACTGCCGTTTTACTCACTACACGCATCCAAAATGTTGAGACAGAAATACACCTTAATGAAGTAAATCACGTAAGGCATGTATTTCATGGAACCTATCAAGTAACATAATCTGCTAGATCATCTTGCACTACAAACAGCACCATTCCTAAGAGAAAATAAGAAAATACTTTATTTTCTACTTACCATCGGTAGAAGTTCAGCAGTTTGGAGGGAACGTTTCTGTAAGTGTCAATCACATCTACAAAAACAATGTCATCATACATACTGCTTTCTTCCTTCAATAAAGCATCTTCCTTCTCAAGGTTTTTTATGTGACTTGCAAACCTTTCTGGGCGAGTATGGAGGCTTTTTAAAAGAGCATCACCTTCTGAAAGAAACAGCACCCATTATTAAACAAAGATGCATATAATTTCACATTTCTCTTGGATCATACAGGGCACACATTGACAAAATGAATCTGAAGAAGCATTCAAATTAATGGGGTTATGAAAATCCTGCAATTAATTTTAAAATTTCTACAAAATTGTTTAAGTTGCAGAACAACAAGTATTTTTTGTATAAGGCCTGACACTAAAAGCTTAAAGTAAAAAAGTATTCTCTTCCTCTTCAGTAATAAAAGAATTCAACTTTCTAAGGTTCCTTAATATAAAGAACAGTCTGGGACTTCACTATTTCTTTTCCTGTAGAGTAAAAAGGCCACTGTCAGTTCCTCCTAAGTATATGTATTTAGCATAAAAAATAAACACAAACAATGCTATGCTAAATATAACCAAATAGGCATTGCTTTGATGTAGCACAGATTATCCCTGCTGAACCACATCACGTAACTGCAGGTAAAAGCTAAAAATATATTGCAGATAAGGAGGAGTTTGTAGTACTGAAGAAAAGTTTGTCAAACAAAATGGAAGGGCTTTAGCACACACCTCAATTCAGGCTCCTACACAGCAGAGAAGACAAGAGGACTGCCCAATTGTATCTGCCAGGCCTAGCTACAAAACCACAGCAATAACACTATCAATGCTTATGTTGGACCAATAAGAACACATTGGTTCCAGTACTATGTGGTCAAAATCTTAGAAATTGGAAAGGCCTCCTCTAAAATCTCTCAACATTCTGCTGAAATAGGTGTAAAAGGGCAACAACAGGGATGGAAACTGTTTGTCCATACTGTTAAACATTGTGATACAGTATCTCTAACTGCAGCAGAACTGGAAAAAAATGTGAAAAATATCAGGGAAAGATTTCAGTGCATGTCATTTTTTAACTTGATTTTGGGTAACAAAAAACAAGAAGAGAGTCTAGATAAAAAGACAAAGGAATGAAACTCAACTGGAGTGGCTGACAAAAGACAAGCAAAGGAACCACATCGGAATATTGATTTAAAGCATAAAAGAGCCAGGAAGAAAATGTTTCTGCTAAAAGAAAACCTAGAGTGACTAAGTTCATGAAGACAGCAGAAATCATACTCAGAAGTGTAATTTAAATGACCTGTTTTACCATCACATCAAATGTCATGCTACGTTTTGTGGACTTACCTTGAATAGTGTAGATAAAACCACCTGCTATTCCCTCCACACCTTCTGTGAGTTCATGTGGCAGGGACCCTTCCCCTGCCTGTTAGGAACAGATTAATTGAAATTAATAGATTAATTCATCTCTCATTATTGATGTGTTTTCCCTCTGATTTTAAGGTGTGATGTTTTCTGGCAACTAAGAATGAAATTAATTTAAAGCTCTGCTGGTTCAGGCACTTGCATAATCACAGAACCACAGAACATCCTGAGTTGGAAGGGACCCACAACAATTATTGATGTCCAACTCCTGGTCCTGCACAGAACCACCCCAAGAATCACACCATGTGCCATGAAAGACTAAGATTAAGATTTTTAACTAAAATTTTGTGGCATTTTTTTAAGTTTCACCCAAAACTAGCAGTACCACTGAAACTTTCAGGAAACTAGTTTCAAAGTTGACAGCAAAATGCAAAATTATTCTGGCTAAATTACAATGACACAGGATGTTTAGGCAAGCAACAATCTGACATGAAAAGAGACACTGCTAAAAAGCAAATACCCAGACTTTATCCCATCAGTTGGGATTTTAGCACAGGATTTTTGACCCACATTTTGCCATCTCTGATATACTGATACTGCTTCACATTCTCACAAAAACAATGAGAGTTTTACTCCTCTCAAAATAAAATGCCACTTACAAGTGTAATTTTTTTGCAAGAAGGATAAGCAAAACTTCTCTTCTGAGACAAAAGGAGAAGCCCAACTGAATTCATGATTTACACAGAGAAACACAGGAAAATAAAATGCTAAATTCTCAACAATTATAGGAAAAATAGAAGCATGGTGGAAAGGAAGGTGAGGGGACTCACTGTAATGACTCTGAAAACACCTCCTCCATCATTCACCATCACTTTATTAAGGTTTCTTGAAACCAAGCCCTGAAGATCCTGGCTCTCCCACACAATGGTACCTTCAAAACTCTGGTAAGAGAGCAAAATACAGTTATGCAGGTATACAAAGACTTTAAAAAAAATGGAAGTCAAACAGTTTGGGCTCATTAAAATTATTTTAAAACAGTCAACTTCACACAAGATTCAGCTTGAGTGCATAACATAAATGTTTTACTTACACTTCAATAAAAATAAATTACACATAAATGAAACACATCCATGAAACTCAGTAACATGTAATCATTCTTTTAAGACTAATCATTAAGACTATATTAAACTTTTAACTGAAGCATAGCATAAAAGACTTTGGCTTTCTAAAATCATCAAAATAGCATTTAAAGGTGACCTGAAGTGAGTTTTCAAAAATCAAATATAAAATCTGCATTACAAAGAGAATACATTAAAACAGATTTGGAAACAAGCTCAGCTTTTATCGTTATCTGCCAAACAGAGATCAGAGACTGGATCCTGACACCAGCAAAACTCAAAGAAAAATACGGCCACCTTAATGGCAGTAAAGGCGTCACAAGCTACTGTAGGACTCACAGAAGTCTTACCTCACATCTTGGCTAGTAAGAAAGAAAAAGACAAGTGAATAACTTCAAAATTTTCTGGTTTTAAGAGTCAAATTCAGCTATGCCACTCCATATTTTACACACAGTGTGTGTGTGTGTGTGTGTGTGTGTGTTTGTGCGTGTAAATTCTTGCATTTGAAAGGACTTAATTTCAACTTTAAAATGAAAGACCCTTGAGAACATGCAAAGGAACAGGAGGTAAGTGGTACAAGTAAGAGTATTGGTAGAATTTTATTTTTAAAAAATTTTAAAGCAATTTCTCCCTTATGAAAAGGTAGGGTTGTTACACTCCTGACTCCCAGATGAACACATTCCATTTTGTCTCTCCCACTTTCATAGGAAACACACTGGTTGTTAGTGTGGGTGTTGGAACAGAAAAACAACTTGTTTGTACATGCATCTCTATTGCTGTAGGAAGTCTGTTTACTTATACCAACCTCTAATTTCTTCCCCATTTTATCTTCCTTGTACACTAGAAACCTTCTTTAAAAATCCTCCAGCTACTGAAACACCTTTAAGTCTAGATTATAGTTCAGCTTACTTTATTGCTTTCCTCTAGAAGTAGGTCTTAGGATCTGCAGCAGCCTCAGTGTTTAATGACAGCTCTGTGTGTACTTCAGAAGTCTCTCATCTATTATTTAAAATGCCAGGTTTATAAGCTAATAATGGAGCTAGCCAGTGTTTATTCAAGCCTGACTTCCATGCTCAATACCTTCCCCTTGTTTCACAGAATCACAGAATAAGCTGAATTGGAAGGGACCCATAAGGATCATCCTTTCCAACTCCTGACCCTGCAGGACCATTCCCAAATCACACCCTCTGCCTGCAAGCATTGACAAAACTCTTCTTGAACTCTTGGCTTGATGCTGTGACCACTTCCCTGGGGAGCCTATTCCAGTGCCCAACTACCCTCTGGGTGAAGAATCTTTTTCTAATATCCAGCCTAAAACTTCCCTAATGCAGCTTCAGGCCATTTCCTGTCCTTGTTCACCACATAGAAGAGATCGATACCTGCCCCTCCTCTTCCTCTCATGAGAAAGTTGTAACTGCAGTGAGATCTCCTTTCAGTCTTCTCCAGGCTGAACAGACCAAGTGACCTCAGCTGCTCCTCAAATTCCTTCCCCTCACAGCCCTTCACCATCTTCATTGCCCTCCTTTGGGCACTCCCTAACAGTTCAATGTCTTTCTCATATTGAAACTGCCCCCAGCACTCGAGGTGAGGCTGCCTCAGAGCAGGACAATCCCCTCCCTGCCCAGCTGAGGATGCTGTGCCTGAATGCAGCATCAGGACACGGCTGGGCCTCATGGCTGCCAAGGCACTGCTGACTCATACTCAGCTTTCTGTTGTTTGCTTAATTATTTCTCACTTATCAAAATAAATGGACCAATATTAAGACTTTTTCTAGTGGCTCAATTTCTCTTTTTGCAGTGACTGTCATCTCCCATTCCAATGTTTTTTGCTGTAGGGATTGGGCTCTAATCACACTTCAGTGTCCTCTTTATAGACACAACCTCTGGAAAGTTATTTAGTGAACAGGAGAGTCCTTTAGGAGCAAGAGAGTCCTTCCATGCCTCAGCAAGCAGAAACATTACAATTCTCACCACTGACTATTAGTGATACTGACTTCAAATGTACCAGGAGTCTTAATCAGTTACTACCAGTGAACCTCAGTGTAAGGTGTCCTAAGGCTGCAAGCTATCATTATTTTCTAGGTTGAGAGACTCGTAAGCAAATTTTCTAATTACTCTAGCCCTTAGCTATCCTTACTCTAAGCCAGTTAATGAATGCTAAGGCCTGAAAATGCTTCAAGCAAAAACATTAGTGGCACACCTGAGACTACATCATCTGTTTTTCCCTATTTAAATTCCAGCCTTGTTGCTGCTAGAGCGCAGTGGCATTTACAGTGAATACCGAACAAGTGAACTGACATAATGCAGCCCTGCCAAACTCCTTTCCTAATGTTAAACAGTGCTGTGCTTTTTGTTCCTCCAACTACTCCCCATTAGCAATACAGAATATGTGCAGTAGAGTCCCATCTTCATGCAAATGGCCCAAGGCTTTTTGACAAAATAAGTGCACTGCTAAGACTTGTCTGTAAGAGCCCTGTTTGTTTTAGTTATCTGCTGGTGCTTCTGCTGTTCTGCGCTTTCAGTCATTCCAAAGCTGAATGATCGATTCTGTCTCTCACAATCTGGCCTGCCAGATGCTTATTCTAATGCTGCATTTCCTTTCCCTTCCCCAAGACAAGCAGAAAGAGCAGC